CTTTCTTTTTCCCCTGCCTGCTATCTCCTGTCACTGTGTGAGTGTATCAGATGAGCCCAGAGTTTTTGCATTACGAAAGCAAGAGGAAAAAAAGTTATTTCCGTCTTTCTCCACACTGTTCACTGTTTTATAAACTTGTACTTTTTTTGGTCTGTTGGTTGGAATACTTTTTTGTCAGTTTAGAGAAAAGAATATTTTGGATAAGGAAGTATTAAATTGATTTTTTGGGGGGAGGGGAAGAAAACTGCATCCAACTAGGAGTAAGTTGTTGGGAAAGCATATACAAAAACATAAACTTCCTGTGAACAGGAAATACGCAGGCTGTGACACAACAACCTGCTCCCTTTTTAAGGTGGAACGGAAATATCCTAACACAAGTATCCCTGACATTGTGCGTTTTTGTAGGCTTAGTTTTAATGCAGTGGATGTGTAGGTGAAATCAGCATGAATCCAGAAACTTAGGTCACATGGTATGGCTTAATTTCAAAATAAGAGGTATGGAGTCAATCTTTTCATGAAAATCTTTTTTGGATTCTCTTATATGGAAGTTCTTCACCTGCCCATAGATGTACAAAGAAAAAGATATTTTGTTCAGTCAGAAGACAAAGACATTCTACGCATGTGTAACAGCACACTGCCCTAAATAAATGTTGCACAAGTCCTATTGCGATCAAAACAACAAGGTTAAAAATTGCAGTCTTGCCGAGTCAAAATGTCACCAGTTGCCTTGCATATTCCCTAGCAGTTCAAACCCCATCAGTGTTGCGAAATCAGGATTGTTGTTATTGTCCCAATGTGCATCTCTTACCACTTGTGTTTTTTTTGCCTATTCATCCAATCTGGAAAGTTCACAGTCTGTTTAGGCTTTCACCATCTTGAATAATTGGGTGTCACCCACAAATCTGGCTGTCTCATGGTTCACACCTTATTCCAAATGAACAAGTTAAAAAGCACCAATAACCAACACAGACCCCACTCCTTACTTCCTTCTATTTTAAGACTTGTTTACTCCTATTCTCTGCTTCCTGTTGTTTAACTAGACAGGAATCTTTAGGAGAACTCATCCTCTTATCCCTGTCTGCTAAGTTACTCAGGAGCCTTTGATGAAGGATCTTGTCAAAATCTGGTTTAAAGGACCAGTTATACAACGGTTACTGAACCACCTTTCTCCACATTCTTGTTACTCTTAGCAGGCAGCTGATGTCCAAAATAAGGGATTCTCTTTTAGATCAGAGGTGTCTGTGCTGGGGTATGGAACAGATTAAGCCCCAGGGCTGTCAGCTGCCAATCCTCATCCTAAAATATAGGAGATGTGTGTTCTGGTTGTAGTACTGCTGCACATTCCTTGGATCACCTCTGACAAACTACCGTATTTTTCGCTCTATAAGACGCACCAGACCATAAGACGCACCTAGTTTTTGGAGGAGGAAAACAAGAGAAAAAAAAATTCTGAATCTCAGAAGCCAGAACAGAAAAGAGGGATCGCTGCGCAGTGAAAGCAGCAATCCCTCTTGCTGTTCTGGCTTCTGGGATAGCTGCGCGGCCTGCATTCGCTCCATAAGACGCACACACATTTCCCTTTACTTTTTAGGAGGGAAAAAGTAAGTCTTATAGAGCAAAAAATACGGTAAGTTAAGGCTGGCCCAATAGGGCATGTGGGGCACATCCAATATTTCGTGGCCATTTTGGGTGTTGTGATCTCACACACTTGCTCTGCACTCTCACCCTGAAAAAGTGCTTTTTGGGGGGCAAGAGCAATGCTTGGGTCACATGACTTGCATGGCAGCTCATCTTGGAAGATGTTTGTCCCAGTTTTGGGTCTCCAAATGTTGGGCGGTATAGTGGGGTGCTGCCCCCATACCCCAGTCCGCCTCCACCTGTCTGCCTTCTTTTTTAGAACCAGCCCAGGAGGTGGCCCTGCCTGCCTGCTAGCTTCTTCTTCCTCCTTAGCTTCATGGTTTTCATTGTAGAGAACAGCAAGGAGGAAGATGGGGACAAAACTAGAATTTGTTGGCTTTGCCTGTCATTGGCTCTGGCGCCACCTACTGTTGGGCCTCCAGCCTTCCACCCACCAGTCCAACAGGCACCAGGTGACACTGCACCAACCTTACGTTCAGAGCAGAGTCATCCAGAGACCACTGGAGCCTTCTGTCTGTGCAAAGGCATGCTCTCATTTTCAGACATCCAAGATGTTCTATGGGCGTGAGCAGCCGGGGTAGCCCTAATAATCCTCAGCCCACTCCGAAAGTTGGAGGGTTGTGTGGTTGCTGTGTTTACAGGCTGTTCAGAAAAAGGAATGAACTGTAAAACCATTGGCCTGGCCCGTAAGTGTACATCCTTGGTATTTGGGCTGCAAACATGCTGAGAGCCAGGTTTATTCCAGATGTGTAAACTTTGAGCAACCTCTTGTGGTCTGTTGCTTTGCAATACTGGAGAGGCAAGCTTTCCTCCAACCCAAGCTAGGGCTCTGCCTACGCACTTCCAACAGGGACACTCAGCACGAGGCTTATTAATCTGGAATGAACCCTGTGCCGAACAAGTGTGTGCAATATAATGCTATATCAATATTGGCTGGACGCTCCGGGGTTGTCTATTAAACCTCAGTCCCAGGCCCAATGTGTGGGAGACTGTTTTGCTGCAAAAACAGAACAGCCTTGCCAAACATTTCCAATCTGTCTTTTGGCCCAGCTCACCTCTCAGAGGTTCACACCCAGCTCTAAGCACTTTTTCCCATCTCAGGGGTAGGAGATCTGCTCCCCTCCCACCAAATACTGCATGCTTCCCCTCCCCAGGCTAAACTTTAGGCCACTAACCCAGGTGTGCTGCTGAGTTTGCACAAAGCAGGAGGCTACCACTCATTTTGTCATGTGCTACGATGTGTCTGCAAACACATATTTGCGGCCTTAATGCATTGTCCTTTCAACACCCTTTTGTTTCATCAATCAATTACACTTTTAGATGCATGCAATGGGAAGAAGTGGTTTTGCATTTGATTGTCTGGGAGCTGTGGGCTCTCATCAGTACAGCACATATTTGGATGCAGTCAGTGAACCTAGAATAACAGCTCTACTCTCAAAGTTCATTTTAACTTCTGTGGTTTTTTCTGCATCAGATCTGAATACCTTGTGATCTATTGAACTGAGTGCAGACTGCCAGAAGAGAAGACACAGAGGTGACACGATAGACATCTTCAAATATCTGAAGGGCTGTCACACAAAAAAGGGAGCAAGTTTGTTTTCTGTTGCTCCAGAGGGTGGGATCTGAACTAATGGATTTAAAATACAAGATTAAGAGAAACAATTAGGGGACAACCTAGACAAGAATTTCAAAAAGAATGGGGAAAATGCAGAGAATACTTTATCAAACAGTGCCCCAAAATATATACCTGGACTTGTTTCGATTAATTTCTATAGGAGACTTTGCGGTTTTTTAAAGTCATAACTAGGAAATATTGTAATAATCACATATTAAAAAAACAAGATACAAGAAGTAAAAAAGGAGGCCATTTACAGGATAAAGGAAGTCTTTTATTTTTATGTTACATTTTCTTTATCTAAGGGGATAGGAGTTTAATTTTGATAATTAAATTGTCAATGGTGGTGGGTTTGTTTGTATGTATGTGTGAGTTGTTGTGGACTATGTTGTAAATAAATTATTAATAAAAAATAAAATAAAATACAAGAAGAGATTCTGACTAAACATTTGGAAGAACTTGCTGCTGCTGAGAGCTATATGACAGTGGAATGGACTCCCTTGGAAGGCGGTGGACTCTCCATCATTGAAGGTTTTTGAACGGAGGTTAGGGGTGTCATCTGTCAGGGGATTCTTTAGCTGTGATGGGGGGCTGGACTAGATGACCTTGGGGGGTACCTTCTGCAATTTTGTCATTCTATTGTGCCCTGCCAGAGACTTCAGAAATCCTGCTTCTGCAATCCCAAGCAGGCAGCAAAATAAAGCAACATCTTGAGTCGCTGGTGGATGAGTCAACTATTTGTGGTTGGTGGGATGCTCCCAGTGCGGTGGCTCACACTCAGCACTTTTTAACATGTTCAGGGGATGAATCAGAAGAAGCTGACACAAGTAATGACCCTGAATTTTGCATTTATCTTATTTAGAGTATGGATTTCTGTGGTTCACAAGGCTTCGATGCACTTAGTGATTTCATACAAAGCTTGTGTCCACACCAGAGCATTTAAACTCACACCTGGATCAATTGGTGTGTGCTTATGTGCCATCATCCACACAGGAGCTTGTTCCATTTTTTGCATCTTGAAACACGATGCTTCTCATCCACATTGGTGGGTGGGGCTTGAAGGGATGGGATACACCAACATCACTTGGATAGCTCATTCTGTAAGAACATCTCAGTTATCCACCAGGAACCTTTGCATGCAATCAGTGTCCATGGTGTAAGAGCCAATATGAATTACTTTTGACATTCGCCGTTTCATTGCTCAAATGTGTTCTCAAAGGCTGTTGAAGGAAACTGCACAGTACTATTGATGAAATGCCACTGTCTCAGTTTGGGGCCAATGAAATAAAAAATCGACAGACCGGCTAGACGCTGATGTAAGAAAAACCTGCACCCTCCTTAGATTCTTCATCCCAAGTGTTGCTTATTGATTTATTTGTTGGCAAAACATGCTAAACTGTAAGTCCCTAATGTAGTACAAGCCTGTGGTTTTCAAGGTATGTTAAAAACCCAACATCAGTGTTATTTGGCTACAGGGGAAGAACCTTCAAGACTCTAAATCCATCACCTGGAGTTGTTTAAATTCCCCAAATGCAAACAATCCCTTTGCAATTGCTAGAGATGACCCACTACAGTTCAGTCTAATAGGGTGTCTCCCCAGATGTTCTAGGGTACAGATTTGGAAAGCAGTAAAAAAAAAAAAAAAGCCAATCTGATGGGCATCCTGTTGCTCTTCTAATATAAGCCCTTTTGGGGCTCTGTTGGCATGGCCAGGGCTGACACCATCGCCGCTGCCTTATTTGGCGACCATTTTGATGACTCTAGAAAATGGAGGACTGTGTGTTGCGGTTGCTAGGCAACACCAGGATGTGCTTTCCAGCCGCATAGGTGACTGAGGAGCTTCTCCTATGGTTGCTTAGTAACCATGACATGCTCTCCCTGTTTGTTGGACCTGGCAGAGTGGCTGGCTAGATTTGCAAAGGCGAAGCTGGAGAATGCCATAGGCAGCCATATCGTGGGGAGAGGTAGCAGTAACCATGTGGTTTTAGATGTAGTGAGGATGTGTTAAGTGTAGCTTTGAAAACTGCAAAATGAACATGGCAAACAGGTGCTTGAAAAAGCTTGGGCCGTACTAGTGTACCAGTCAAGGAGCCCGGACTGAAAGCACAATAGGTGGCAAACCCAGGGTCTGTTACCAGGAAGGAGTAAGGGTGGGTAGGAAGAGAGCTGGCTAGATGGCAGAGGTGGGAGGAGTAGGGAACCTAGTTCTGTCTGGGTTGCAGCTATGGGGGGTGGGCTGGCTATCAAAGAATAAGAATAAGAATAATGTTTATTACCTGTCCTTCACCAGACGTTCCCAGGGTGGGTTACAGCAAAAAATAAAAATAAAAAATGCAGCATTAAACACAGTTTTAGACAAATTACAAATGTATCTAGAATGGTTCTGTGTGTGTGTGTGTGTGCGCGCGCGCGTGCAGCCAAAGGTCATGACAAAGAGGTGTGTCTTCAGCATACAACAATAGCTGTCCAATGAAGGCGGTGGTTGCACCTCTGTGGAGAGAGAATTCCAAAGATTAGGGGTCACCCCTGTGAATCTCTGAAGATAGTGGAACCAACAAGAGCCCACCCACCACTGATCACAACACCCAAGAGGGTGTGTAAGGAAGGCTGCCATCTCCTATTTATTTGGGACCTAGGGCATTTAGGGATTTAAGCACTAGTGTGAGCACCTTGAACTGGATCCGGAAACAAAATGGCAGCCAACATGACTTTTAAAAAATAAAATGGGTGAAATGAGTTCTAAAGGGAACCCCAGCTGGTAAACCGGCCTCTGCATATTGGACCAGTTGAAGTTTCCAAGTTGTCCTCAAGGGCAGCCCTTGTGATCAAGTCATCTCTGTCCAAAAAGGCCAAAACTGGTGGAGTAGCTGGAGCTGGGGAAAAAAACCTCTCCTTGCCATCAAGGCCACCTGAGCCTCCGAGGACAAGGTTCAACCCAGGATATACAGAACTGCTTTTTCCAGGGGAATGCAACTCCCTCTATGGCAAACCATTTCTCCATGTCCCAGACTTTAAAACTCAGCGCAATGGATAATCCCTCTGCCTTTTCAGGCTACAGCTTCATACAAAAATGCTCACTAGGGAGCCTGACTTGGGTGTGTCTGTTGGCACAGCAGGTGGCGTTGTGGTCTATACCACTGAGCCTCTTGGGCTTGCTGGTCAGAAGGTTGGCAGTTCGAATCCCTGCAATGAAGTGAGCTCCCGTTGCTCTGTCCCAGCTCCTGCCAACCTAGTAATTTGAAAGCATACCGGTGCAAGTAGATAAAGAGGTACCACTACGGCGGGAAGGTAAATGGCGTTTCCGTGCGCTCTCGTTTCTGTCATGGTGCTCCGCTGCGCCAGAAACGATTTAGTCATGCTGTCCACATGACCCGGAAAGCTGTCTGTGGACAAACACCGACTCCCTTGGCCTGAAAGTGAGATGAGCAGCGCAACCCTATTAACTGGACTTAACCGTCCAGGGGTCCTTTACCTTTTTTACCATGCTGGCTAGCAAGACAAAGTTTACCACTTTGGGATGAATGAAATGGCCATAGGTCCCATGATGCAGCTCTTCCACAAGCATCTGATTATATTTAGGTTGGGCTTGATTTTGTTCCATCACAAGAAGCCATCCTTCTTGGTCAGCCTGAGAGCTGTTGGCCCAGGCAACAGGAAGAATGTCCCTTGCACACTCTTGGGCTGGTATCCAGCTTCTTGCTGCGGCCAGCCTTTCAAGTGAAGGCAAGTGGAGTGGAGAGACAAAGAGAACATTTCCTCAGCTCCTCAAGCCCTTTCCAGTCTATCTTTGGCTTGGAACTCTTGAAAGGGCTATATTAAACCAGAGTGATTGTTGTTTTCGAAGCAGAATATAGGGTGAGATCGCTTGGGTTTTCCTCATCTTTCTTCTGGCTTTAAATTACTGACATTTCACACAAGGCTTCCAGAAGAGACAGAAATGTGCCTTTGTAGTAGGGGGAGATGGATGCAGTCAGAGAAAGAAGAGGGTGAATGTGCTTCCAGAATAAGTGCTCTGATTTCCAGATTAGGGCAGGGTAATTTGGATTTACTTAGCCAGAAAACTCCATTGCAAATTTTTGGAGAAATGTGAATTTCAAAGGATAGCTGTGTTTGGAAAATGCAAATTTGCTTCAGTTCACTTTTAAATGGGAACTGAATCTAATTCCCCCCTCTTCCCTCCTCCTCAGATTAGATAAGCCCACACAGACTTTGAGTTGCAGATCTTGATGTATTTATGTCAATACTTTAGTTTATCCAATGGCCTTGTGCCTGGTCTCTTTATCTGGTGGTCCCTGGCAAAGGTACCCCAACATTATGGAAGTTTGCTTCGTTATGAAAAAAATTGTTTGGAGATGTGATGTTAAAGGGTATATATTACGTCACAAGGCACTCAACCAAGATGATTGGTTGAAAATTGGTTTAGAACTAACTTTCATGGTTTTGACAGATGAGTCAACTGATTTAAACAGTCCCTTGTGAACTGGAGGTGGTTTGATGATTCAGAATGAAGAAAATGGCACAGTAATGCTGGAGTGTAATTTTAATCTATCATAGTTTGCCACACCCCACAAGCTGAAATCAGATTTAGGTGGCAAAAGCGGCATTTTGCCATGGGCCCTTGAATCCTTCTCCAGATGTTCCTCTCTATCAGAAGCTGGTCCACACACCTCATCATAAACCTTGGCTCAAAAAATGTAGCCAAAGCAGGAGCTGTAGTTTCAGTCCTCTCACCTTCCACCTGGCTCTTGATATTTTCCCATGAATCGGCACAGATGAGGAACATGTTCACACGTCGTCATAATGCGCCACAGCCACCAACATCTAAGACAGTCCACATGAAATCTTCTGGCCGTAGGACCTTACCTTCTGCATCATAAACCATTAGTCTTCTTGATGTACTGTGGCTGTGCACACCCCGTAACTTGAAAGCACATTTCTCACCCCCGTAAAGAATCCTGGGAACTTTAGTTTACCCCTCACATTCCCTCAAAAACTACAGCTCACAGGATTTCCCTTTTCGGGGTGGAGAAGGAAATGTTCTTTATGTACTCTTCAGCTGAAGTGTGTATTTCTGCCCTTAATGATACAATTAAAAAGCGCTTTGCTTTCATGGGTCTGCCCGTTATCAGGTGCCTTTCAAGAGTCAGTGCTCTGCCGGATGGAGTTGACCTGCCCATTGTGTTTCTGTGCCCCTCCTTCGGCAAAGTCCTCATTCAACCTTTGCCAAAAAGTCTCCAAGTGCCCATTAAGGGGAGGCGTTTCCTGTTGACTTAGCAATTAATGACCTTTTCCTCGACTGCTCCCCTCTCCTTCCTCTTTACCCTTCCGTACTCAAAACACAGATACAAAAAGTAAGGGGTGGTGAAAAGAGATCTGTGCAAATGCTACAGTGGGGGTAAGTTGACTGCACACAAGGGGAGGGCCAGGATTTCTTCCGGAGGCTTTTTCTGAAGTCCCCCCCCCATAACACTATAACTTAGGGTTACCGTCTTTGAGCTATTTTTATGGAAAATCTAGACATATGACAACCCACTAACTCGTGAACATCCAATGGAGCTTAAGGTTGGAAGATTCAGGCCGTTTTGGGTGCCCTGAGATAATGTGATTTGGGGCCAAGATCTTGTCCTGAAAAAACAACAACCACTTTTCACGGCTGCAATCATTTGCGGCAGCCAAAAATGTGCATTTTGGGGCACCATGAGAGAGCACATGTTAGACAGTATGAAAGTGTATTTTAGCAGATTCCTTCCCCCTCTTCTGTCACTGGGCCCTGGGGGGCTTCCCAGTAATAGACAACAGTGGAAGCAGTGGTGCCCCAAGCAGTTACCCACAATGCACTTGGTGCAAGTTTACTTGCAGCTGTTTGGGGACGTTTAAATGGTGGCAAGACCCACATTCCTTGCACTGCTTGAAGCACCCAGTCAGAAATGTTTTTAAAAGGAGAGGGGGCTTAGGGTAGAGGTGGGGAACCTCCAGCTCACAGTCTGAACATGACCCACTAGGCCAGAGTGGGAAAGGTCCAGCCTGCTGTAGGTATGTTGATCCAATGGCATCAGGGATGGGTAAGCAGATTTTAGGACTACAACTCTTATCAGCCCCAGCCAGTGTGGCCAATGGTCAGGGATGATGGGAATCGTAGTCTAAAAATCTGGAATGTATCATGTTGACTTTCCCTGCAACACACACACACACACACACACACACAGTGCATAATACCCATTAATAGGATCACATACCCTCCAGCGTTTCTCCGATGAAAATCAAGACGTCCCATTCCATAACAATAACTTTACTATTTATACCCCACATATCTTACTCGGTTGTCCCAGCCACTCTGGGCAGCTTCCAACATATATTACAACATAATAAAACATTAAACATTAAAAAACTTCCCTATACAGGATTGCCTTGGGGGTTGGATAACTCCAGACCCTCCAACATTTCTTGAATGAAAATGGGGACATCCTAAGGAAAAACGGGATCAAATCTGGGATCAAATCAGAAACCGGGACGGCTTCTCTAAATCAGGGATGCTCTTGAAAAACAGGGACACTTGGAGGGTCTGGGACATGGGCAGGCAAACTAAGACCCGAGGGCCGGATCCGGCCCAATTGCCTTCTAAATCTGGCCCATGGACGGTCTGGGAATCAGCGTGTTTTTACATGAGTAGAATGTGTCCTTTTATTAAAAATGCATCTCTGGGTTATTTGTGGGGCATAGGAATTCGTTCATATATTTTTTTCAAAATATAGTCCGGTCCTCCACAAGGTCTGAGGGACAGTGGACTGGCCCCCTGCTGAAAAAGTTTGCTGACCCCCGGTCTGGGATCAGCATAACTACAACCCTGTGCAGAGTTTTCTGGGTGTAAATTTCATTGAGCTCAATTGAGCTTCCTTCTGACCTCGTATGTTAAACACCCTGAGCTCTTACCTTTGGCCTTTAATTAGAAATACAGTGGTACCTCGGGTTACAGACGCTTCAGGTTACAGACTCTGCTAACCCAGAAATAGTACCTCAGGTTAAGAACTTTGCTTCAGGATGAGAACAGAAATCGCACGGCGGCGGCGCAGCAGCATTAGCTAAAGTGGTGTCACAGGTTAAGAACAGTTTCAGGTTAAGAACAGACCTGCGGAATGAATTAAATTTTAAAGCCAAGGTACCACTGTATTGACAACTTTGCAAAGAAGTGCCACCACTGAAACTCTTCATTCAAAACTGTGTTTCCCTTTCTACATCAAAAGAAAGAAAGGCCCAGCCTCTCGCTCATTCATCTCCTCATCCTCTGCTTTCCTCTATGCTAACCTCCCACCCAAAAATGATAAAACTTGAAAGCCATGTTATTCACATGCTGGAGCCACGAGGATCCCTCAACGACCCCGGTGCTCTGGCAGATGACATCATCACTCTTCTGAGAAAGGTCCCGGAGGAGCCCCACTTGCCTCCATTCTCCCTCCCTTCCACCAATGATGGGAACGTCATTTTTGTCTCTGAAGGATCATCTGACATGCAACTCAAGAGGTACACACAATTAGGGCCCAGCACTCTTTCGGAGGAGACAGTTCCAATTAAAAAAACCACACGTCAAATATGCAATTACTGAATCAGCCCATTCAGCTACACTCATTCGTTTTTCCCCCTTTTCCTTTTCCAGCAATAAACTGTCACGTCCCAGAATAAGGGAGAATCTTTTCAAACAAGGAACATCTGACTTTCTCTAAGTGAGTGAGGTGCTTCTGGGTGGGGAAGTTCTGTTAAGTCTCTGAAGTCCTTAAGCCCTGTAAGTGCAGCTGAATAAAATTCCCTCTTTTCACCCGCAAGCAAAGTACTGTTCATTCAAGTAACTGAGCTCATTAGCTAAATTCACCCATTCACTCGCTCTGAGTTACTCAGAAAGCTTTTGTGGGTCACAGGTTTGGCCCAAAAGAGGCCTTGATGATGGCTGATGTGAGCGCTAGCAACAGATCTCTAATTTTATGCGCTAGCAAGACAGGCTTGTGGGGTGGAGGGAAAGCCCTCTCTCAACCTCCTGGTAGACAGCCCCGTTGGTTTAGATTTCAGAAATGCATAAAATTCTTCAGCTGCAGCTGTCTCCCTGCCAAATCTTTAAATCAAAGCAGAAACCAGCTTGTCTGCAAGGACGGCTTCATTTACCATTAAACCATTTCAGGGCAATAAAAACAAGCATTGGTTTTGACTACGTGACTTATGTGCAAATGTGTTGCACAGGGGCGGGGAAGGCGGGCACCACAGGGTGTGTGTGTGTTAGAGTGGGTCAGGTGTCAAGGGGCACAGATTGCTGGCAGAAACTGGCCAACTTGATTTTATCAAACTATTCCCATGTGATTTGCACCGGCTGCCAGTTAATTTCTGGGCTCAATTCAAGGTGCTGTGGTTCACCTTGAAAACCCTTAAGGGCTTGGGACCTGGGGCATCTTTTCCCCAGTGCTTTTGCCACCATTAGGCAGAGTCAGGCAAGTGCCTCAGGTGGCAGATGCTGAGGGACAGCTCCCTGGCTGTAGTTTCTATTGGGGGACAGAGCTGGGTTTGCCACACAGCCCAATGCGGGTCCTTCCGAAGCAACAGAGGACACTGTGCCACCTCAAGTGCTGAAGGCACATTGAACTGCCTGTCCAGACAGCTTATGGATCAGTTCTGCTTTCCCCATATGTTTTTCCTTGCATGTTCTGATTGCTATCTGAGCCCCTGCTTCAAATCTCTTGGCCTCAGGGTGGAAGGCTGCTGTTAGCAACCAGTGGCAGTGCCTTTTGCGTTGTGGCACCTACCTTGCCAAGTGGGGTTTGTCAGGTTCCATTGCTATGCTGCTTCAGATGATCAGAGAAGGCCTGGCATTTTTCTTTTTCTGTTTATAAAAAAGATCTTTTGTTATTTATGTTCTTTCTGTGCTACTGAAATTTGCTAAAATGCACTGCATATTGATAAGTTGTTCATCAGAGGGCAATATAATGGAACTCCTTCCCTAGAGAAACTAGATGGGACCCCTCCTTGTCCTCCTGCCGGCAGGTGAATATGTTCTTGTTCCAACAGGCTTTTGGAAAATAACTACAGTGGTACCTCTAGTTACAAACTGAATTCGTTCTGGAGGTCCGTTCTTAACCTGAAGCTGTTCTTAACTAGAGGTGTGCTTTCGCTAATGGGGCCTCTTGCTGCCGCTGTGCCACCGGCACACAATTTCCATTCTCATCCTGGGGCAAAGTTCTCAACTCGAGGTAACTCTTCCAGGTTAGCGGAGTTTGCAACCTGAAGCGTTTGTAACCTGAGGTGTTTGTAACTCGAGGCACCACTGTACTTTTAATGAAATGGTTGGTGCCGTGCTGTTTTTATTGTAGGGTAATTACTGGTATGGTTTTAATAGATTTTAAGGTCGGCAGTTCGAATCTGCATGATGGGGTTAGCTCCCATTGCTCTGTCCCAGCTTCTGCCAACCTAGCAGTTCAATGGCATACCAAAGCAAATAGATAAATAGGTACCACTGTGGTGGGAAAGTAAACGGCATTTCTGTTCGCTCTGGCGCTCGTCATGGTTCTCCGTGTGCCAACAGCAGTTTAGACATCACCTGGAAAGCTGTCTGTGGATAAATGTCAACTCCCTCAGCCTGAGAAGCGAGATGAGCACCACAACCCCATAGTCACCTTTGACTGGATTTAACTGTCCAGGGGCCCTTTACCTTTACCTTTAATAGATTTTAATGTATTTATGTAGCTTTAAAAAAACAATAAAACACTGATAGAATTAAAACTACATAAATACATTAAAATCTATTAAAGGTTAAGGTAAAAGACCTTTTGTTATTTCCCTGTGTTTTTAGCTGGTCTTATTTGATCTGTAAGCCACTTTGAGTCCTTGTCCAGGAAAAAGGTGGGGTGTAAATAAATATTTGATAATAATAATAATAATAATAATAATAATAATCATATAAGGGGACTGTGTATGTTTTATTCTGTTTTTATTACTTTTCATTAGCCGCCTCAAGTCTCTTTGGTAAAGTAGGTGGGATGGAACTTTTGAAAATAAATCAATAAAAATAAATCACCTCTCCTAGCAGAAAGCCTTTCAACCATGTGACTAGAATAATATTTAAGATAAATGAATGATTCATCTTCATGAAGGAATAATCCTGCTTTGATCAGGGCACAGGGATGGAACAGCAAGTCACAGGGGAGACCTGGGCAGGATGCAGTGCCCAAAGCGGTCATGTTTACATCCCTTTGATGATGGAACCTTATAGTCTCCTCTTCCATCTTGCGTGCCTGTCCAGCAGACTGTCAAAACCTGCCTTTTCCTCCTCCCTGCTCTCTGCTGCATATCCATAACTTTATTTAATTGACCATGCACACCAGCTCAGATAAACTATCGAGGGAATGTACAGCAATATACGCAATAAGACATCAACCACCAATAAAACAATACCTACTAACCGGCCCCTCTTTTTATCATGTCTTTAACTATCCTGCGTGCAGAAACAAACAATTTAAAAACACTAAATAAGCCTGATCTATAATCAGCTGTTGTCAGTGTTTAGGAAATACTTTACATCTTCCGAAAAGGCTGCGGTCCTACAAACAACATGGGGGTTTGCGCCACTGAACTCAATATGGTTTATATATAGGATTGCATCACATGGTATAATCCCAAGATGCAGACGTCTTGTATTTTTTGAAGGGACGTTCTTAATTATTTCAGATTGCTTAATAAACGCCTCCTTTGCAGTTTTCAAATGGCTGACCTTTGTGTCTGTTTCAACTATGGATGGGAGTTAACCATTTTCAGTCTTGCATTTCTTTCTGTTTATGCTTTGGCCAGCTCTCTCTGCTCTGTTTTGCAAGGAAAAGCAACAGACAGCATCCTCTCATTCCTCTGCTGATGTCAGCATACAAAGCTCATATGATGTTGCTAGTGATAAGAAGAGGTTACTGGAGGGTTGCGAATCCCATGGAGACTTTTTCACATCCACATGGACGCTTCCCTTACAATTTGTTGCAGACAACTTGAAAATAATACTGAGCATTCATATAGCACTAGTTCCCCAGTGTTCTGGGGGGTGCCTTCAGGTGGGGAGAGGGTTTCTTACTGCAAATGGGTCCTTGAGATATTGCAGATGTGGCACTGGCAACAGCAGGTTTTTTTCAATTGGATTTCCCCCAGGAAGAGAACATTGGGTGAAATGGAGGAGAAATACAAGCTGTTTCATTAATGCACAAGTTTAACATGGGGGGGGGGTACAGCACAGTCCTGTAACGTCGGTGGGTCTGCCCCAATCAGAGGGGACCTGAGAAAGTGCTTTCTGTGTCCACACGTAGGCAGCAAGCACTTGAGAAAGGCTTTCTCACTGGCACAAAACGGATTATAACTTCTCAGCGGAATGCGATTTAGGTTGACAAAACAGTGTGGCACAGGGACAACATAGGGAATGACATCATGAGTGCAGCACCCCCGAAAGGTGCTTGCCTGCAGAACCGAACACACATTATCACATAGTGTGTACCATATATATTTGTTTCATAAAATTTATACACTGCTTGTTTTTTGTTTTTGTTTTTTTAAAAACCCCCAAGAAACCAAAGCGTTTTACAATGATATTAAACAAGAAAAAATTACAGCAGTACTTTGAAACATACAAAAGTTGAAACACTGAAACAGATTAAAATTACCACAACTTTCTAAGCATCTGGGCAGGCTTGTCTAAAGAAGAGTGTTTTTATCAGGTGCTGAAAAGTATAGATGGAAGACACCTGCTGGATCTCAATAGGCAAGGAGTTCCAAAGAGCTGGAGCTGCCACACTAAATGATTGAGTTCTTACAAACGCAAAATAAGTATTGGGTGGCAGCTGCAACAGCGTCCTTTCCACTGACAGAAGTGGTTGAGTGGGTTATGGCAATATTGTAGGCCGGGTGACTGGAGGCCCCTGCCAAGGGCCTAGCCAGGCTTACACTGCCATGCCAGGAATGCACTGCGAGTTTATAACTTTCTTCTAGCAAGACTCCTCCCCTGGGCCTTAGACAAGCTCTGCATTGGCTTGCTCATGGAAACAGATGGATAGGTAGGCAGGTAAATAGAACCAAGGGCCAGGATAAAGGCAAACAACTGCCTCATGAAGGTGCCGGACACAACTCTTTGCCGAGGGAATTCCATCATCAACACCCATCAGGAAGGACCCTCCAAACCCTGACAGGCAGGAATATTGTCACAATCCTCACAACAGTCCGTGAAAGTCTGATCAGCAGAAAATTACGCCCATTTTTCTGATGAGGGGCTGAGGCTGTGTGAGCAAGAGAGGTTTTTCTAAGTCCGTCTCTGGACTTTGTAGGCGAGGAGACAGTCAAGACCCAGGCCTTTGAGACTCAAGGGTTTGCCTATTGCTTCGTGACTCCACACTGGCTGTTGTTAACCCACCTTCTTCTCCACGGAGCTCAAGGTGGGGTACAAAGTGATTCTCCCCCCTCATTTAATCCCCACAACAACCCTGTGAGGTAGGTTAGGCCAAGAGGCAGTGACTGGCCCAAGGTCACCCAGTGAGCTTCGTGGCCACATGGGGGGATCTGAACCCTGCTCTCTGACAGGTCCATGGTGGTCACACTGTTCAGAGCTACACCTGCATGGTATTTGGGCTCCAGGCTGCAAGGTGTGTGTGAACAGGAGTGTGAAAATAAAGAAGGAATATCTGCGGACGAAGGAAGGAGGACAATGGAAAAGGTTATTTGTTCAATCGCAAGCGGCCGGTAACAGGCTGTGCTCAGAAGTGCACACAGAGTGCTTTCCAAGTAGGAAATGATAAGGCGAAGGCTAATGAAGAGAAGGGAGACGGAATGCAGCAGCCCAAGGCACTTTTTGGCACATTCAGAGTGCATCTTTCTTTAGAAAAACACATACACGCACACACAAACATCCTTTTGGCTGGCTGTTTTGGCTTGTCAAGGCTTTCCTGGGGTTCAGGAAAACGCAGAAGATCTGGCCACAAACACAACACAACAGCCCTGTGAAAAAAAGCAGAGTCAGTGGAACTGAGGAACTTCAATGAGAGAGGGGCTGAGCTGAAGAGGGGCGAAGGGGCTGCAGAGGAGGCAGGAAAAAGAACAGCAAACGCTGCAGATGGTCTCACTCTCTGAGCGAGAGAGAGAGAGAGAGAGAGAGAGAGAGAGAGAGAGAGCCCCATAATTGCAAAAGTCGGCTAAACTCGCTCTGGCTCTTTAAAACGCGAGGCGAGCGCGCCGCAGCGCGCTACTAGGAGGCACCGGGCGGGCTGCAAGTGGCTGAGGGCAGGCCCAATAAGCGCCTTCAGCACCTCCCCTCGGAGAAAAAAGCAGCAGGCGAAGGAAAAGCAACTCTGGCTCCGAAGCCTTGATAAAAAAAAGAAAAGAAAAGGGACAGAAATTGGCACACGGCGGCGATGTATATAAAGCTCTCCTAGCAAGCGCGCTGCCTGTTTGCAAAGCCAGGCACCGTCGAGGGGGGTGGTAGCAGCAGCGCGCCGGCCGCGATGCCTCGCTGAGTGAGTGAGCGAACGGGCAGCGGGCTGCTCCCCGACGCGGAGGACCTGCAGTTGCCCCGGCCGGCCCGGTCCGCGCCCTCCCCGCCGCGCCATGCCGCTCCTCCTGCTCCTCCTCCGTCGGGGTGCCCTCTTGCTCTGCCTGACCGTCCTGCGAGGGTTGTGCGCCCCGGCGGAGACGGAGCTGGTCACCCCCATCCGCCTGGACCCGTCCCCGGAGGGCGGCCGGCCGTATTTCCATGGCCCCCCCGAGGGCACCCCTGTCGGGCAAGGAGCCACCTTCCAGATCACGGCTTTCCACCAGGATTTCTACCTGCACCTGCGCCCCGACGCCCAGTTCCTGGCGCCCGCCTTCGCCACGCAGTACCTGGGCAGCGCCCCGACGGCGGGGGCGGCCGAGCAGGAGGGAGACCTGCGCCGCTGCTTCTACTCCGGGGACGTCAATGCGGACGCGGACTCTTTCGCGGCTCTGAGCCTCTGCGGAGGGCTGACTGGGGCTTTCGGCTACCGCGGCGCCGAGTACCTCATCCGTCCCGTCGAGAACAGCGGCGGGAACCGGGCGCTGTGGAGCGGCCCCGGGGAGCACCTGCTGCAGCGCCGGAGCGCGCCAGGTCCCGCCGTCCCGACTTCCCGCTGCGGCGTCGGCTCGGGCTGGAACCCGGCCATCCTGCAAGCCCTGGAGAAGTACAAGGGGGCCCCCGGGGCCCGACGGGGCCCCCGCAACGGGACGGGCCACACGCCGCAGCCTCCACCGCCCCGGGCCAAGCGCTTCGTCTCCATCCCACGCTACGTGGAGACGCTGGTGGTGGCGGACGAGTCCATGGCCAAGTTCCATGGCGGCGACTTGCAGCACTACCTGCTGACCCTCATGGCCACGGCGGCGCGCCTCTACCGGCACCCCAGCATCCAGAACCCCATCCAGCTGGCCGTGGTCAAGTTCCTGGTCATCGGGCAGGACGACAAGGGGCCCAAGGTGACGAGCAACGCCGCCCTCAGCCTGCGCAACTTCTGCGCCTGGCAGAAGAAACTGAACAAGGGCAACGACAAGCACCCCGAGTACTGGGACACCGCCATCCTCTTCACGAAGCAGGTGGGTGGGGGCGATCTGACGGGGTGGGTTGACGGGTTGCCTCATGGCTCCTCCGGCTCGTCCTCCAGGGCAGGAGGACCAGGAGGTGCTGCCAAGCGGGGTGGGTGCCTCTCGCCTCCACCCTAGTGGTCCCTGCAGGGGAGTCGAATGGGTCTTTCGAGGGAAGAGACTTCGAGGTTGGACGGCAGCGCGGGTGAGGCCGATTCCCCTCCTTGGCCAGCAGGAGGCGCTGTAACGATGATGGTTTTTACTAATCCAACATTCTCTGTGTGTATGGTACGGGGTTCTGGTTTATTGCATCTGTATCCGGCCTTTTCCTCCAAGGAGCTCAAGGTGGCGAGTGCGGTTCTCCCCTCCATCATTTAATCCCCACAACCACCCTGCAGGGTAGGGTTGCTGTGAGGTGACTGGCCCAAGGTCAGGCACTGAGCTTCATGACTTGTGTACGTGCGCATGTGTAAATGCGTGGTTGAATCCTGATCTGTCCCTGGTCCTACTCTGAAATTGTAATCTTCACAACGCCATGAGGTAGGTTAGGCTGAGAGGCAGTGACTGGCTTACGGTCTCCCAGTGAGCTTCATGTGCTGAGTGAGAATTTGAACCCTGATCTCCCAAGGTGCTGGCTTGACACACTAACCACTGCACCACTCTTGACTCCTCCTGAAGCCCCATTAGTCCCCTTTCCCTTAGTCCAGTCTGGGGCCCTTCAGATGTTGTCAGATTACAGCTTTCATCACCTCCTCACCCTTGGCCATGCAGGGCAGGGGCCGATAGGAGTTTTAGTCCAGTGTTTCTAGGGCATCACGTTGAGGAAGGCTGCTGTGGCCTCAGTGACCTTCAGGCTACCACGTCCAGTACACACTTACTTAGGAATAAGCCCCATTTGTTTTCAACGGGTGGAGACTTCTTCCCAAATTAATTCAGGATTAGGTTGCACCTGCCCCCTATGATCCATGAGAAGGTGCCTGCCCAAACGAAAAGCAACAGTGCTTACTTGGCCAGTCACTTTCGGCTCTGCTGATTTTTCCAGAGAAGTGCAGGGAACCAGGGAAGCTGCTTTGATGTCGTTCTCCTTTGTTTAGCCCACTACACTGCTGCCTGCTTGGATTGGCAGTGTCTTTTGTGGGTCCTTGGCAGGTCCAGCCCTGATGTCTTAAGGAAGCTCCTAGTTATGATGCCTGCACTCTGCCTCCAGCGTTCAGGTTTCCCCAGATAAGAATCCCGCTGGCCACTGAACCAGATGCTGGACTAGATTGGCATGTTCCCTGAGCAAGCAGGGCTCACTTTTTATGTTCTGATCTTTTTGCTGAAGCTGCCAGGGGGACGTGGGTTTGGGACCTTCTGCGTGGGATGCATGCAGTCCAGCCTTGCTCTCTGCCACCACCACCACCCCAATTGCTTGGTTGTAGCTCAGAGGGGAGCACGTGGGTTGTGAGCTTGGCATACATGGAATTCCTTTTGAACAGCAGCCCAGAAAGAAATAAAAAAAGAGGGTAGAGAAAAAACACCCGTTGGCACAGTTTTTTTGCGAGGCCAGTAAATGGGTCAAGAGAGAGACATTCTTCAGGAAGAGTCATTTGTGACAAGAAGCTGCCCTTTGCCAGTGGAGCATCTCGCTGGGCGGGGCGGAGCCACGATGCTCCTCCTCTCTCCTCCTTCTGTCTCTCCCTCCTTCTCTCCTTCCTGCCTCTGCCAACTGGGCCAGAGCTGCCAATTACCCAATGCAGTGTCTCGGTTTGCCTGCCATGATGTGGCTGAGAAAACCATTGCAGGGTGCATTTGTAGTTGCACCTTAAGAGTAATTAAAAAAACTTCAAGAGTAAAAAGGCAATTAATAGAGGTGATTGAGAATATAAGAAGAGCCTGCTGGATCAGGCCAATGGCCCATCTAGTCCAGTATCCTGTTCTCACAGTGGCTAAGCAGATGCCCCTTATGGAACACCTGTAAGCAAGATTTGAGCACAAGAGCCCTGTGGTTTTCAGCAGCTGGTATGCGGAATCATTGCTGCCTCCAACTGTGGAGGGAGAGCATAGCCATCTTGGCTCATAGCCACTGATAGCCCTCTCCTCCTCCATGAATTTATCCAATCCTCTTTTCAAGCCGTCCACATTGGTGGTCCCCACTGCCTCCTGTGGGAGGGAGTTCCACAGTTTAAGTCTGCACTCCATAAAGAAGTACTTTTTAAAATCTGTCCTAAATCTTCCAACGTTCAGCTTCAAATCTTATCATTTTTTTTACATAGTAGGAGATACAAAAATTGTAGGAAAACTTGCAGAGAAAGTGGATAGAGATGCATCCACTCCCCCCCACCCTGACCCTTAGGGTGATAAAATGTAGAGCAGGGATGGGGAACCTGGAAGTCCAATTGCCCCTGGAGCATCGGAAGTTCTGCTCCTGACTTGGGATCACCCTCTGAAATTAACTGGCAGCAGATTCAGCAGACAGAAGAAAAAAAATCTCTTTCCTTCTTCCCTGCATAGTGAATTCATAGGTTTTCCTTGCACCACGAAATGGTTATGGCTGCTGACATAAGTCCTGATAGCTAAATGGAGACCCTCCATATTCAGAGGCAGTCTACCTACAGCATAGTTGTTGTTGTGGGATGTGGTTGCAGTGGGAACCTTTGATGCTGTTGGATTCCAGCTTCTCTCCACCCAAGCTGACATGACCTATTGGTCTGGAATGATAGGAGCTGTAATCCAAAAACATATTGAGGGCCATAAACTCCTATCTCTGCTGCAAGGGAAGTCCTATGAAAAGGAAGTTAGGATCAATGGACTCTTGGTTTCATCCAGCTCTTCTCATGTTCTTGTTGGTCACACAGAGCCAGGGATTTGCTTTGTTTTCTGAACTCCCCCCCCCAAAACAGCTGGGCAGAGCACCAATCTCTTTCTGAAATCTCTTGCAGAACCCTCTATTGCATGAGGTTTTGGAAACTTGAGACCAATTGGGGTGTCTCCCCCACCACTAATCTACTGTCTTTCCTTAGAAATTGTTAACTCTCACTGCCTCATGTGTGAAGTGGGATTTATTCCCCCAGAGTAATTTTTCATGTCAACATCCGTTTACAGTGGACGTAAACAAGTTAAGTTTGTCTGGCTGCACGACTTTGCCCTTAAATAAACATTCCTGCGATTTCCCTGCTTAATTAGAAGGATTTGCTACTTCCTTTCCTGCTGTTCCTTTTTTGTTTGGGGTGGTGTTTGTGAAATCCAGTGGAGAGAGTAAAGCTAAGTCCTTAGTTTGTCAGTGGAAATCTCACGGCAGTCAGGGTTGTCAGATCAGTGGCGGCTGCTGTCCGTGGGGACTGGTGGGGTAGAAGTCCAGGAGCCCAACAGTAGGTGGCGCCAAAGCCAATGGCAAACAGAGCAAATTCATTCTAGCTTGGTCCTTGTCCTCCTCCTTCCTGCTGAGTTATACAAGGGCAACTCTGAGACAATGGAGGAGGAAGATGACAGGCAGTGCCACCCCCGGACAGGGTGTAAGTGGGAAGGCAGGCAGGTGGGGGCAGCCTAAGGTTGGCGGACAATGCCCAATTTGCCCTAATGGACCAATCTCTGCTGACTGGAATCTATTACTTATTGCATTTATTTCTCACTTTGTTCTCCAGGGGGCTCAAGGTTCTCCCCATCTTAATTTAATCCTCAAAACAACCCTGCGGGGTAGGTTAGGGTGAGAGGCAGGGACTGCCCCCTAGGGTCACCCAGTAAACTTTGTGGCTGAGTGGGGATTTGAACCCAGTTCTCCACAATGCTAGTCCAAAACTCTAACCACTACACTGGAACCCTGATCTTCCAATATTTTATATCTCTCTCTGTGTGCGCGCGTACACACACACTCTCTCTCTAAACTTCCAAGGTTCTAGTTCCCATTTCATCTTCACAACAACCCTGTGAGGTAGGTCAGGCTGAGTGGCAATGCCTGGCCCTCAAGGTCGCCCAGTGAGCTTTGTGACCAAGTGGGGATTAGATCCCTGGTCTCCGAGGTCCTAGTCGGGCACTCTTTCCGCTGCACCACACTGCCTCTCATCCTGAAATCTGGCTGGGCCTGTTCCTAGCTCCTCCCCTCTGTAGCCCCTGGGCTCCTGCATCTCCATGTTGATGCTGACAGCCTGAGCATCCTCTGCGATTGCTCCTTGATGCTGTGGGCTTCATGCCCGACAGGAATGCAACTGCTCCCTCTAGACCCGGTCGCTAAGCAGCCATCATCGCCTAAGAACGAGTGGTTTTTGCTTCCCTACACCTGGACGGGCTTCAGGCAGGTGATTGACTTGGAAATCTCCTCAAGGAATCCCTTGTCATCCTCGGGCTGAACCTTGGCTACACACACTGTTCTGATCCATGGCAGCCTTCCCAGTTTTGCTCGCAGGAAACATTTGTATGCATCCAACTGGGATTTCTCATTTGACACGGCAGGAGCTTTGGCCAAACTTGTACCGGGAAATGTTCTGACCGTTCTGTTTCCATTTCTACCATTTGCTTGTCGCCTTCCTCCTCCTCCTCCAGGGTTCTGTTGCCTAAGTGAAGGCTTCCTACTCTGTGCGGCCGGCTGCTGTGATAGGCAAGATTAAGGAGGTGCTTCTTGCCTTGGGTCTCAGGCAAAAAATGCCTCACCATCTTAACCCCAGATATATGGCCATAGTCTGGCCCTTGAATTGCTGTTGGACAACAGCTCCCATCATTTCCAACAATAGCTGTGATTCCTCCATTGCAAGGCATTGGACTAGATGACTCAATGATCACAGTGATGCAATGAATATAGGGAGGGCCACATCTCTATTTGCTGATGGAGAAAGATTAGAACAAACCTTTTGCTAGGAATGAAAGGCATCGTGATTGTGTATTTGTGTGTGTAAGGAACCAGCACAACACACATGACCACTCATGTGTGTGAAATATCTCAGAGACTACTCCATCCCTCTTCATCCCTTCCATGACTACAGCCAAATGACCACAGCTACCTGCATGACTCACACCTAGACTTGGGTTGGTTTTTTTTGGATAGGCACAGCCCCTCCAAAGCTTTGAGCCATTCTGCAAACTTCCATAGGCACTTCTGTTTGTGCAAATCTCAGAGAAGGGGTCGAGGACAAGGGGGATGGAGAAGCAGGCCCAGAGATGTTTTGGGGTGGCCTGTTGCTTTTACTCATGTCACATGGCAGAGGCTGCAATCATTTGCACTCTCACCTGGAGAAGGGTCCCATGCAATTCAGTGGAACTTGTTTGAGAGGAGACATTGGTGCGATGGCAAATTCTGAAGTGCGGGAATGCATTGTTATGGCAACTCCTATGGCAGGGATGGGGAACCTCAGGCCTGGGTGCTAAATGCGCCTCCACCCAGGTCTTTCTGTTTGGTCCCCAAGGATCTCCCCTTTCGAAGCACAAAACGAGCCTGTTCTATGGCATCTTTGAGTGCTTTTGCCTGGTTGGATTTGAACTGCGATCCTACTCCTTGCTTGCCTGGATGGAGGACAGGACAGGTGCAGGTGTGTCAAACCTCTGATTTCTGCCTGGCTAGTATGCAGCTTATTGTAAAAAAGTAAGAGTCACATCCATTGCTCCTCCCAATTTTGTATCTGGCCCCTGCATGTGTCACCCCTGCAGTAAAGCTATAGGGACTGTGTGTTCCTTTAGTCCCTAGCCAGACCAAAGACATACTCACAAGTTAAGACCATCATTCATGGCATTGACTGCAATCCCGTGCATCACTTTCTGGGAGTAAGCTGAGTTCCGTGGTACTTCTGACTGTAGAGGTTCAACTTGGAAAACACACTGAGCTTCAAGAACAAGTTTTTCTGCCAGCTGCAATGGCAGCCTTTTCAATTAGAAATGCTAATATCTTGCAAAGACATGTTGTGGATGATGACAACAACAAGGCTCCTATCTGACTGGTGTGAAGCAGGTACCTCATCCAAGAAATGGAAGGAAGTACCTAGCCTTGATTATTTTTCTTGTTCTCTGACTTCCTCAATGCTAACATCCCACAAATCCTGGAGGTGGGGGAAATGGCAACCTTGAAACCTCATTCAGTTGCTGGAGAAAATAGAGTCAATCAATTCCTCTGGTGTTGCAGTGGATGATGTCATTGCTCATGCTTTGAAAAAGGTCCCCAAACTGTGCTCCCTCACATCCTTCCTCTGCTGCACCACTGGGAGTAAACATGTGTGGGATTGGACTGTAAAACTCCTAGAAAGAGACGCAGACTTTGAGGCGGTGAGTGAACGTGGGACTCCGCCCTGTGACAAACCCTCCTTCCCTTGTCCCCTCAATTCCTCCCATGATATCAGGCTGGAACAAGCCAGGTTTGGCTGCTCCTTCTCTGCTGGTCTATTGAGTTGGGACTGCAGGAGCCTCAGATGGAATGCATTAGAGCAGGATGTGGCTCAGGAGCATGAGACCCTTGCCTTCTTGAAAACAAGACCTGGAACTTTTCCACCAACTTTGGAAGGAGGGAGCCAAGGCTTCCCCCAGCTGCTGCATCCCAGCAGTGTGGCGACGGAAGTGAATGTGACAAACGCGATATTATTTGCTGGATTGTCAAAAAGCTGCCATTATGGAAAAGGGGGAGAGAAAAGAACAGTTTCTGCATGTTAGGAATCCGAAAGAGTGATTCAGCCTCGCAACTGCCAAGGGAACAGTAAAAAGAAAAAGGGGGGAGGGGAGAGGAAGAAAACATATTTTTAATAGATAAAGCAAGGTGTCTTAGATTTTCATTTTCCTCCCGATTCTGTGGAATTCTATCCTGGAGCAGATGAGTAACTCCCTTTCCCCTTTTCTTTTCAGGATGAGGGTTTCCACTGAGTAGGTTCCAAAATAAAACACTTTTTTGGAATTGCAGGAAATTGGGCTCCACGAGTTTGTAGCTATTTAGGCAATGTGATGACTACAAGGCTTGGATTTAGTGTTGACCTTCAGTTCAACCTGAGCTGCGTGTCCTGATCCTTACAAACATCAGATGGAGAAGATAAACGTGGGTGCAGAGTCATGCGACTTCAGACTGATGTGGGAGGGAGGCTGGAAGGAAACATAGAATCATAGAATAGAATTTGTAGAGTTGGAAGGGGTGCCACTGGTCATCTAGTCCACACCCTGCAATGCAAGATTTATTTAAGCCAGACTTAAATAAAACAAAAATCATTGCATCCAGAAAACTAACATGTCAGGGAGAAGGTGTGACTAGAACGCTTCCTCCCTTGATATCCGTTGCCGGGTTTTTTTGTGTTTTGTTTTTGCGGAAGCAGGAGCTTTCGGCTCTGTGATTCTCTCCACCTCACACTGCAGACTACAATGGTAGAATCCAGAACCATTTCTACTCTGTTGGGTTTGAGTTGTGTGCCATTGAATCCAAGGCCCTCCCACTGGGTCGGTTGTGAGCAATGACAACAAAAGAGTAGGCGGCTTCTCCTCTTTGCATCTGTGGATTGTGTCCAATGCTAGTCCTACTCAAGAGCAGGCCCTTTGAAATGAATGAGCCATGTCTGCTAACTTCAGCAGGTCTCCTCTGAGAATGAGGCAACCAAATACCTTGCATCTATTGGGGATGCTTCCCAGGAATGGGGTTACAGTTTTTTGGATCAGAACCTGCCTGATTTAAGATGATGTAGATTGTGTGCACACTGTCCCTTTAAAGCACATCTGGAGCACATTTTCTGCCTCAAAGAATTCTGGGCACTGTAGTTTGATAAGTGCTGTTGGGAACTGTAACACTGCAAGGGCAAACTACAGTGCCCAGGATTCTTTGAAGGAAAGACTGTCCCTTGAATGTGCCTTAAAGGTGTAGCTGGTACGCAGCTCACAAGTATGAAAAAGGCAGCCTATGGGGTTATGTTTGGGGAGAGTTTGTGCTGCAGCGTTCCTGGGGCCTTGTCCCATCTTCCGAATAATAGCCAGCTTGCATTTTTTGCGCATTACTGAGCCGCGCATTCCTCAAACCCCAATGTGAGGGTACTGGATCAATGGAGACATCTGCCTTTCTTGAACTCCTCCATCTGTGGTCTCTTGATACCGCAAAATGTATCTGCCTGCCAAAAAGGCTGTTGCGTAAACCCCGAGCTCTTGTTTCATTAAAAAAGGAGGGAGGGCGACAAGCTAATTGATAGGCAGTTTGCAGTGGCAGTCGACAAGTCCCGTGCAGAGCAGCTGGCGGGCGGGTTGGGGTATTTGCTTTCTCATTCTGGTATCAGGAAGTTCTGGAAAAGGCAGGTTACTCAGTTCAGGAGTAGCACCAAACTTGAGAATGGCTGCACTTCAGTAGCGGAACATCTGTTTTGCAGGCGGAAGATCTCTGGTTCAGTCTCTGGAATCTCCAACTAGGACTGGGAGAGACAGCTTGTCTAAAATCCTGGAGGCAGCTGCTGCCAGTCAGTGTAAACAGTGCAGAGCTAGATGGACCAATAGTTTGACTCAGGGTTAGGCAGCTTATTACATTACTGTGGAGGCAGCTGCAATTGACTTTATTCTCCAGTTGTTTCATCCTGATCTTCTAAGCAGGTATGAATTGGAAGTCTCCTTCTTTGGTGGTAATGGTGTAGCCCAGCAGCTGCAACTCTGCCCCATAGGATGAGCCCTGTCGGATCAGAACAGAGCCCAGCATCCTGTTTCACACACTGCCCAACCATGTGCCCATGGGAAGCTCACAAGCAGGATGTGAGCACAACAGTCCTCTCCTGCAGAAATCTCCCAGATCTCTCTGGGTGATCTTAAGCCACCCTTTCATACCTGCAGTTTGGGGATAATAATACTGAGCCTACTTTACAGGATGGGTGCTAGGATTGCAGCAAGATAATGTTTGCAAAACACTCAGCTCACTCAAAGGAGGGCACCAATCCATATGATTCACTACTCTAATTAGAAGGTGCTTGGTTGCATGATGAAACTTGGGAAAATGCACCAACAGTGACTTTTAAAGTGATATTAGAAAGATCCCCATGTGCAGGACCTTGAAGGCACATCAGAATGCTGTCTTGGTGAGGTCCAGTTCTGTGGTTTGTTCTCTGTACAGAGGAGAACAGAGGAAAACACGGTGTAAATGCAATCAACAATATTTAGCATTTATATAGAGCAGACACATCCATCTTCCAAGAGACTGTGATCTACTGTGATCTACTCACACTGGCAGTGATCTACCCATTGTATTGATCAAAGTTGTTGAGGTTTCTTTAGTGAGGGTCAGCTGGGAAACAAAGTTGTTGAGCTTTTTTTGGGGGGGGTCCCGCAATAGTTGGACAGGCCAGATATAGAGGTAAAGGCACTTCATATACATTATCCCAGGACTCCTCCTAGCTTGGGATGCCTGAGGAACTCAGCATTCATAAATTCTGATTGACCTGATTTACATCTTCAAATGGGCAGGTCGATACGGAAATGGGATGGGGAAAACCTATGAATGAACATGTGCAAAACAGACGTGGTCAGGAAATAGAGTGATCTGCCCATCTCTCTGCCTGTGAGGCAGGCCAGTCTTATTCTTTCCATACTGCAAATGTGAGCAGGGCAGGGAGTGGTCTGGCTGAAAATAGCAGCTGACTTAAAGCTACTATAGGCACCTTCTGTCATAGCACTACACAATTCACTTACAATTTGTTTACAGAAAGGCACCTTTCCTGTAAAAAAAAAAAAGAGGCTTTCCTTTAACCTCTTACTATCCATCAGCGACCTCAAGCGATGCTACTAGACCGGATCCAGGGCCTGTCCTCATAAGCTGCATGCTAGGTCAATGAGGGTCGTATGATCTCCAAGGAAAAATGACTTTGGGTGACCTGGGGCGGGGCAAAGGGGCATTAAAGGAGGGCCTGTTAAAATCTCCTTGTTAATCTCTGCTTGCAACCAGGAGGCAAGGCTCACTAGAGAAAGTGGGTCAGTATGTCAGTGCAAGTCTTAGGCAAAAAGCCAAGAGATCCTTTCAGCTTGCAAGGCAAGGAGAACTAAAATGAAGAAAAAAGGAATGAGTAAGGCAAAAGAAACAACCAAGTCCCATTTTTTGGTCAGAGGCAATAATGCTTCTGAATACCAGTTGATGAAGCCACAGGAAAGGGAGGCGCTCTTGTGTTTGGGTGTCCTGAATGAGGGCTTCCCCATTGGGGCACCTGAGAACAGGATGCCTCTCTAGATGGGCCACTGTCAGCGGAGCTCTTCTGCTGTTCCCATAAAGCAGCATTTCTCCCTCTCCAATTAACCAAGGTACAACTTGTAGACCGTACTTTCTGAAGCTAGAAGCTATTCAGGAACTAAAGACCCACCATGCTCTGCTTCCTCTGGACGTTTGGACAAGGAGCAGGGGCAAGCTAGGATTGTGTCCCCAGTTGGCATCTTTTCCTCAACAGATGCCACTGGACTCCAGCCCCCACCAGCCCCAAGCAACATAGCCAATGGCCAGGGGTGATGGGAGTTATCATCCCACAGCACCTGTGGGTCCACAGCTCCACCAGCCCTGGCTTCATTGTTGTGGGCTGCATTTCTCCAACACAAGAAGAGGTGTGGAAGAGTATATGCAGAAAACCTTTCTGGAGATTGGTGAGAATCTGCATAGACTTTGCAGGGAAGATCTGTGAGCATTAAGATCTACCTTCCTGGATCAGAGCAAGGGGGTCCAGCTAGCTTTTCCTTACGTTCTCAGCTGAAGCTATCCATATGCCTTTGAGAAGGCCACAAGCAGGACATGATGCTTGAGACAGCCAACCCCAACCTTTCTGGGTCCTGCTTACAAACCTATTTATACATTCAGCATAATGAGGTGGCCACATCAGCCTGAGAGAGGGGGTGAATGACATGTTTAAAATGCCCCCCTTTATAGAAAAGTGACAAGCAAACAAGCCCAAACTCCCTGCACTTAGAAAGCTAACACTTACAGAAGGAAGCTTCTACCCTGGTCCTTTCTCTTGTGTGCTAGATTTCTGCATGCAAAGACACCTTTTTGTTTTAAAAATGGGGTGATATTTGCATTGCAATCTTATGCATGTTTACTCAGCAGTGACTCCCACTGTGGTCAGTGGGGCTTACTCCTAGGTAAGTGTGCCTTATAACCCAAAGCAAGCAATCCTACACCAATAATCCCTAAAGAATGTTGTCGCGTACATTTTTTCTGAAACGTAAAGATTAACTTTCAATCTGAATCTGGTGGCTAAGTTATTTTGCAGGGTTTGGAGTTTCTCTGGCAAGGCATGTTGTATTTCAGAGTGGGAGTAAATGGTGAAAGCGACTAGAGGATGAACAGAGAGCGCAACGCAGCTGGATACCATGAGGGAGGAACGGCTAGCCTGCTAGCCACGCAGGGCACAGGTCCAGTGACCCTGAACTTGGAGCCTCTCACAGGAAGTTACTGTGTGTTCTCAGATGTTATCTTTGCATGTTCAACGGCTTGAACATTGTCCTTAAACTAACAAAATCTCAAAAGCTTAGATTCTTCAGCGTGAGATTCCAAAATAACCACAAACAACCATGCTTTTAAGCAGTATGTTAGGGGTGGGGGAATATCTGTGGTTCTCCAGATGTTGCAGAACTACAACTCCCACCATTTCTGACAATTGGCTATGCCAGCCAGGGCTGATGGGAGCTGAAGTCCAACAACACTCCTCACTCTGCAAGGGGATGTATTCAGCATGATGGCCTTGGCTGTGAACCTTCTGTGGAGTTGGCAGGTTGACTTGGAAATTATATTAACATGGGTCATTGCAAAGTGTGATCAACAGAGCTGTCTTGTGAGCTGAGAGTTTATTCCCACCCACCCATGTTCCTCTTCTGCTAGCTGCCACCCTGCCTGAATCGTTCCAGAAAATGGGCGCAGATGGGTGCTGACCAAGGAATTTGGTAGATTCTCATCTTGATCTCCTCAGAATCAGGACACGACAATCCTGCTGATGGATGAGCTTAGCTTCCTCCTGAAGTCCATCTATCACAGTGAGATGAATGTGATTCCCATCCCCTGTGGCTGCAGGAAAACAGCCCCTGGGGAACTCCCCCCCTCCAATCTCTTGCTTCAAAATGCCTGTCAGAGCTCCTTAGTGCAAGCCTGTAAGTGGCCTGTCATCAAGATGCAATTGATACTCCTCATACTCTGCAAAGATGTGCCAGCTGGGGTCTTGCCTCACCTTGACCTCATGTGATCCCTTTTAGCCCCTGGGGGTGGATCTACACACAGGAAAAAATGCTATAAATAAGCCAGAAATTAAATCAAGGTAACAAAAGAAAAAAGAAGCGCTATGGAAAATTGCTTAGAAATTTCTTTTTGCTCTCTGGCGCCATCTGGTGTTGCATGTTTATAATGCATTCAAAACGCTGTTTCTTGACTAATGTAGCTGAGTCCTGGGACTCAGCAGAAAAAGCCCTGGGGCTCCATTGTGCCTTGAGGGGTACCAGGGCCACATTCACACCATACATTGAAACCACTGCAATTTCACTTTAAGCAGTTATGGCTCCACCGCAAATAATTCTGGGAGCTGTGATTTGTTAAGGGTGCTGAGAGTTGTTACGGAGATTCCCCGTTTCCCTTCCCTGAGCTGCAATTCGCACAGTTCCCTGGGAAAAGGGCTTGATTGTGAAACCACTTTGGGAATTAGAGCTCTCCAAGAGGAATAAAAGGGTAAAGGGTAAAGGGACCCCTGACCATTAGGTCCAGTCGTGGCCGACTCTGTGGTTGCGGTGCTCATCTTGCTTTATTCGCCGAGGGAGCCGGCATACAGCTTCCGGGTCATGTGGCCAGCATGACTAAGCTGCTTCTGGCGAACCATAGCAGCGCATGGAAACACCGTTTACCTTCCCACCGGAGCGGTACCTATTGATCTACTTGCACTCAGACGTGCTTTCGAACTACTAGGTTGGCAGGAGCAGGAACCGAGTAATGGGAGCTCACGCCGTCATGGGGATTTGAACCGCTGACCTTCTGATTGGCAAGCCCTAGGCTCTGTGGTTTAACCCACAGCGCCACCCGCATCCCACCAAGAGGAATAGGAGTCTCCTAACAACTCTCAGGACCCTTGAACTACAGCTCCCAGGATTCCTTGGGGGAGGGCACTCTGACTGTTCAGGGTGGGAGCATCATGCTTTGGCTGCATGGTGTGGATGTGGCCTTTAAAGCCAGCCCTGCAGTCATCTTGAGGCTCTTACTGGGGCAAGAAATATCGTGTCCCTCTCTTGCATAAGGGCCAAAAGTTACATGTAGTGGCTCTAGACCCACCAGTGAGCTGCATTACCAGATTGCTGTTAAGGACCAGTGATTGCCTAACAGGAGAGAGAGTTTTTGGCTCATTGCTCTCCATTCACTTTCCCTTATTCCTTTCTTTTATTTTTTTGGTTAAAGCCAGTGCCAGATTATCTGCTCCGTTGACCATCATCTGCCACAGAGAGGAGCGTGAGCTGGCTAGGGAGAGGCAGTTTGCGCAGACACAATGGAAAGCTCTCTCTGGGTCACAATGACGAAGGGCTTCTCTGGTTAGCATCCAGCATGGAGAGGAATCTTGGCTACCTTGGCAGAAGCAAATTCCAGAGGGAGAGGGAGTGTCTTATGGCACCCTTAAGATAAACAGCTGTATTGTTTGTGCACTAGTATCCCAGTGGATGCTAATCATTTGGGCGAATGGGGGCACCATCCCACCAGCCGCAGTCCAGGGCGCTAGCATGGGCTGTAATAAGTAAAGTAAGTAAGTAAATAAATTATACCCCACCCATCTGGCTGGGTTTCCCCAGCCACTCTCGGTGGCTCCCAAAGCAGGATAAAAGATCAAACATTAAAAACTTCCCTAAACAGGGCTACCTTCAGATGTCTTCTAAAAGTCAGGTGTTGTTTATTTCCTTGACATCTGATGGGAGGGTGTTCCACAGGTCAGGCGCCACTACCGAGAAGGCCCTCTGCCTGGTTCCATCTTCTTCCACCTGGTCAGGCATCCCCAACCTGCTGCCCTCCAGATGTTTTGGCCTACAACTCCCATCATCCCTAGCTAACAGGACCAGTGGTCAGGGATGATGGGAATTGTAGTCCAAAACATCTGGAGGGCCTGGAGATGCCTGGTTTTGGTGTTGCCCTTGTAGATCTCAGCAAGTCAGAGGATAGGAATGAAGCTCTAATTCAGGTATAGGCAAACTCAGCCCTCCAGATGTTTTGGGACTACAACTCCCATCATCCCTGACCACTGGTCCTGTTAGCTAGGGATGATGGGAGTTGTAGTCCCAAAACATCTGGAGGACCGAGTTTGCCTATGCCTGCTCTGATTAGTTGGCCCTACCTGTCATTGGCTCTGGCGCCACCTACTGTTGAGCTCCCTGCTTTCCCACCCAACCATTCCCCACGAGCATTAGTTAGCCCACTGGTATCCCATCTCTTCCAGTCCTGATTCTTTTGTGTAATATTTATGACTTATCACGGCCGGCTCCTGGTGGCTCACATCCCGAGCATCTTCATCCTGGATTCCTTCAGCTGTCGGCGAGATTGCAGAAGACGATAGCGTTGAAATACGATGCATCTTCCCCAAAGGTTGAAGAATGCCCATGTGTGAATTCCATGCAGCCATTTATCTTCCTCCTCTCTCTCCCCACCCCACTCTCTTGTGTGGGAGCACTTCAAAGGGAAATGATCCACACAGGAAAGGAGGAGGCTGCATTTGCCTCTGAGAAGGAGAAGCACACGCAGGGACCTGAGTGGGATTGGATGACTCAGGATGCAAGCCCAGTCCTGGAGGTCAGCCACCTCTGTGATGTTTGGAAAGGAATGCTCTCCTGGCGGGATCATCCCGTCAGCTGACTGTGCGCTGCTGGGGCAGAGGCATGGCGCTGATTCTCAGGGCGTTCCGGACTTGACAGAAGAAAGGCCCTCTTCACAAATAGGCAAAATCGCCAAAAGACGTGGCGATGTAGAGTTAGGTCACCTGTTTTCAGAAAACGAAAACAAAACTGCCAGTATCATTATGACAAATCTGTGCTGCGGCCACATTTGGAATACAGAGTAGTGTTCTGGTTGTCTCACCTCAAAAAGGATGCGATAGAGTTGAAAAAGGGCAACCGAAATGATGATTAGAGGAAAGTTTTTTCCTCCTCTCGTAACACAGGGACTCAGTGAATGTTGGAAGGTTCGGGACAGACAAAAGAAAGGCCTTCTTCAGGCAGCACTGAGTTAAACTTGCTCTCTCGGGAGACAGGGATGGCCAACAAGCTAGATCAGGCATAGGCAAACTCGGCCCTCCATATATTTTGGGACTACAACTCCCATGATCCCTAGCTAACAGGACCAGTGGTCAGGGATGATGGGAGTTGTAGTCCCAGAACACCTGGAGGGCCGAGTTTGCTTATCCCTGACCTAGAAGGCTAGACAAATTTGTAGAGGAGAAGGATTATCAGTGCTACTTGCCATGGCGGCCACTGATGGAGGCAGCACTGCTTCTGAATGCCAGTGGCTGGAAACCACAGAAGGGTTTGGGCCTCAGGTTTTGCTTGTGAGCAATTGGTCAGCCACTGTGAGAATAGGATGCTGGACCGGATGGGCCATTGGCCTGATGCAGCAAGGTTTTTCTTTCATTCCCCCCCTTTCCACAATCCAAACTGATCACAAGAGGAGGTGGGACCCATGCCCTTGGTGTAACCCCAAGAGGATATGCTATGCTGCGTTTGGGTAAGGTGTTAGTAAGGTGTTCTCCACCCTGCCATAACCTGCTGCACTCTGCACCCTCTCCTTCGGGCTCCACACTGTGATCGCGGAACATGACAGCACGCGTTCCCATTGTTGTTTTAGTTTAACGTTGTTCCTGAGTGCATGCCTTGAATCTGTTCGCTCTGCTCTTGCAACCGGAGGATATGGAAGCAATTTGTAAGAACGCTCATGCCGGCACTGCCCTAACTGAAGCTCACACGCTGGCCTCGGCAGGCAACATCTGCAAGCCATGATGTCAGCCCTGGCTCCTGACAGCAGCAAGGGGGCTTATCGCTTAAGATGAGGATGTGGCAGAAATCCCCCACCGTGCCTCTGACGCTGGAGGCTGATGCTCTTGTCTTTTCCAGCTGGGCAGGTCATGGCCTGGAGCTTTCATGCTTGCGAGATGAGAGGACGAGAGCTGCAAGGAAGTAGCTAACCTCCAGGCTTGCAGCCGGGGAGCCGAAACCCTTTCCTCTTTGCTTGCCCTTTGCCGATCGAGAGAGCATCTCTCGCACACATGTGCGCACCACGGAGGCCTTTTTTCGCCTGCTTCCTTGGCTGCAAAGAAAGCTGGAAAGTCTATCAGCAGCACCTTGTCAAGAGCAGGAGGGACGGCCTCCTCTATTGTGGAAGGAGCGCTTCCAAGCTTTGAAAGCAAAACCGTCTTGCTTCCCTTTTTGGCCCTGGGGGTTTTCCATCCCTTGTCCAGTTCTTCTGATGCTTTTTGAGACCTATCTCCTGCTTCCACGCCTTGATGCCCATAATCCTTCCTGCCCTGCTCTTGTGCTACAGAACAGGGGTGCCAACTTGAATAAAATATTGGGGGGGGGGAGGTAAGCCCCACCTTGCATAATTGATCACAAGATACAGCATGCACACACCCTTTGAATGGGCAATGCCCATCAATTTTGGGAGGCCCCAGCAACTTCAAATATTTTATTTGGGGGCCTGAAGGAACCTTGGCCCCTAAGACTTGGCTCCTATGCTACAGAAGGTAGCCAGGTCCAGCCGCTGAGAGCCCCATTTTCCAGCTGCTCCACAGGTACAAGGGATTCTCAGAATGGCAGGTTGACTAACCTGAGCTGCTCCACAAGGCATACACCCAGGTTTGGATTTTAAAGTGTGAATGTGACATGCAGGGGTTAGCAATCGCAGGTGTCCTCCGTGGCTTGGCGTGCCTTTTCCCAGCTTGTCTGGTTCACCAACAATGGCTGTTCCTGGACAGGGATAGCCTGACTGCTGTAGTCAGGGTCAGATCTATTATGAAATTAATAAGCTTAAGATTTGGGGCTCCTAATCCCCAGACTTTAGTCCACATTGCTTTAATTTTTTTTGCATCTAGTAGACCAAATTTGAATCACACAACTCAAATTGATTACTTTTCCCCTGTATCTATTTCAACAATCCCAAAGTTTGAGAGTCGGTTGGCTCAGGGATATTATTTTTCTACTCACAATAATTAGCTGATAGAGGAAGTTAAGATGGGAGGTGCTGTAGAATTTCACCTGGATTGCATTTTAAAGTGAACTGGTCTAATTTTACTTCCCAGACTAATATGTGGATTGGAATGCAGTTATCCTGCAGACAGAGCATTTCTCAGAATTTTGCAAAAATGCGTAAATGATTGTGCTTTATGGGGGGGGGGACACACATGCAGAAATGTATATACTTGGAGGAAAGGCATACCACTTAAATGCAGACTTTGTGTTTTAAAAGCAATGGCGGAAAACACGAGAGAATGGGCATTTGAGTCAACGTGTGTGAGAACGACACAGACCCAAAATAGACTGATCCTCCCATCCCTAGTTATGACTCTTATTGGCAAAACATTTCCCTTCTATGGATGCAGAGCTTTGGTATGGTCAGTTGAACCTACCATTGATCCCCATGCCTGTGATCAGCTTCAGAGACCCTGCTGTCTCGCTTGTTGCTATTATTAGTTAGTATAAACTTGGCAGCGGCAAGGCCTGTTTAGTGGTGTCTCCACAGCTGTGGAACTCCCTTCCCAATGGACTCCCTCTTTTCACCTTCTCTAGACATGCACTGAAGGTCTCTGTGTTCCACAAGGCTTTCTGTGTGCAAGGCTTCTTGACTGTATGTTGATTCAGTTTTTAGGTTCTTCTGCTGAAATGCTTGACGACATACCTTTTCGTTCTTTGCTGTTGTTTTTATTTCATGCAACTGTGGAGTTAGAAGCGACTCAAAGGGTCGTCTAGTCCAACCCGCAGTGATGCACAAATCGCAACTATTTGTCCTGTTGTAAACTGCCTTGGAAAGATTGTATCTTGAATAAAAGAGATAAATTGTTGTTGCCTTGAAAGTGCATGTTCTGGGCCAAACTCAACCCAAGCAAAGTTTCTCTTTTGTAACCACCTTGGCTTCAGCAGCCAACAACCCGGGTACCTTTCTTGCCATGAGATTAAAGAGCATCCTTTTGTTCTTGGCAGGATTTGTGTGGTGCTACAACCTGCGACACCTTGGGCATGGCAGATGTCGGCACCATGTGTGACCCCAAACGTAGCTGCTCTGTCATTGAGGACGATGGTCTCCCCTCTGCTTTTACTACAGCTCACGAGCTAGGTAAGTAGTAGCTTTGGCAAAGTACGAGATTTGGTCTGAAAATGCATTCAACATCATTTACTTATTGCCATTTCTTATATGATATGATATAATTATACTATTGACCCCACATCTTCTGCCAAAAGGGTTCCTAGGGCAGCTTGCAGTTCAATAGAAACAAGCAAACAAGATAACTCATGAACTTAGGCTTTCTATCTAAAAGACACAACACACATGGAAAAAGGGAGGAGGGCAGAGGAAGAAGAAAGCAAACTCAGGTGCCAGGAAGGGGGCACATGCGTAAACATGCTCAGAGCTGGGATCCCCCAGAATATTGCTATCAATCCAGCGCCACAGAAAAGCGTAGCATCTTTTGCTGCCTGAGCTATTGCATCTGTCTGGTTTTGCCGGCTCTCCTTCAAATGTTCGCCAGACCGTTCTTGGCTCGAAGCCTCCATTCATCATCCTGTGGCTTAGGAAGTGGCCACTTAAACCAAAGCCACAGCAAAGAGGCAGAGCCCCTGTCTGTGGTTTCCACCTGGGAAGCAGATTTAGACCAGGGGGAAGTGGAGACACAGGATTGGACCCATTTATGTATATATATATGTGTGTGTGTGTGTGTGCGCGTGTGCATGTGTGCACGTGTATGCATGGAGAGAGAGAGAGAGACAGTCAGAGTCAGTCTTAATCCATAATTTGGAGATGAGCCTGATTTTAAAACAAAAAACTATGACTACTTTGCTCAGGAAGTTTAGACAATAGCAAAGCTTCCAGAATAGCTTTCTTGGGAAACTCCACATGTGTGTGTGTGAGAGAAAAAGAAAGCGAGTGAGACTGCAGCCTTGTTCCCTGTGTGTGTGTCAGAGAGAGAGAGAGAGAGAAACGCCAAATTTATTCCCAAAGGGGCAGGGAGGTTTGAGTTAAACTGTTGGGAAAGCAGCTGTTGGGAAGACAAGGGAGCCCAAGCCACAAATTCGCCTGCTCTGGCTTGGTCACTACCTCGTTTCCCAGGCTTTAGAAATCCTGAAATAACATGTCATGGCCAGGACACATTCGACACACACCTAGATCCGGAGAAGTGGAATGCCAGATTGTCAACAGGATTCGTAGCCAAATTGCTAGACTCTCATTTGGATAACAGGAAAAGGCTCTGCTTTTTTGTTACTTTTTTTTAATTAGTGCCACAACAAATTCTGCATCCGCAATTTTGATTTGGACTCCGTTGTACAGCCAGAAATGGAACTGCCAGGAATCAGATTTCCCTGGTGGGAATGGGCTGGTTCACACACGTTCAGCTGTGCAAATGAGCAGCCCCCGGTTCAGGTTGCCTCCCAGCCGTGGGTTGTATCAAAGTTTATAAAATTATGTATGGTTTAGAGCAGGGATTTGGATGTGGGCCCTCCAGGCTTCTCCACCTGGTCTTGGGACTGTCTCTGAGCCACACCCAGAGAAGGACCATTGGCCCGACCCACAGGCTCTTCTTGTGTTCTTAACAGCACCTGGCTGGTGATAACGCCTCTTTGTTGCCTCGATGGAGGATGGAGAGACATGTCTGAGGATCAGGAGCGGCTGGCATGATGCCGTGACAGAGCCAGCCTCCCTGAAGCAGCAGCTCTAAAACTCACCAGGATGGGGTGGGGCAGGGTGGCAGTCAGGATGGAGTGGCACACTTTGTTGCCTGGATCTCACCACCCTGCCCTGTTCTGGTAAGTGGAAGTGATGCTTCTGCTGGAAGCCTGGATGCATAAAGCCACATTGCCTGACTGTTTGCTCTATAGAAACCTTGGTCTCTTGTGCATACTGGAGCATATTGTACAAAGGGGAAAAGCCACATCTATTGCCCTGCCCACTTTTGTCTCTGGACACCATGGGCAAAAGAAGAGCCTGGGATGGATCAGGCCAATGACCCATCTATAATAGCATCCTGTTTCTCACAGTGGCCAACCAGATGCCATAAAGGGAAACCCCCAAGCAGGACCTGAGCACAAGAGAACTCTCCTCTCCTGTGGTTTCCAGCAGCCAGTACGCAGAAGCATTGCTCTCCAACTGTAGTGGCAGGGCAGAGCCATAGTGGCTAGTAATCATCAAAAGCTCTCTCCTGCTCCATTAATTTGTCCATTTCTCTCTTAAATCTACCCAGGTTGGTAGTCATCCAAGGGCATGTGTTCCTTGGAAGCTTCCCCATGAGGGGTTGTGACCCTCAGGCTGAAAAAGGGTTCCCTATCTCTAGTGTGGAGGACCGAGAGGCAGTTTTCCTCCCTCTCTTAGAATGCTAGAACTGGGAGTCACCTAATAAAGCTGAACAGCAGGAGATGCAGAAGCAGGCAAAAGGAAGTTCATCTTCCCACTACAGTGCATAACTCATTTGTGGAATCTGCTGCCCACAAGGTTGTGGGTGGTGATGCCCAGTTGTCTGGGTGGCTTAAAAGAGGGATTAGGGAGGAAAATCATGGAGGGAAAGCCTGCCAATGGCTGCTTGCCATGATGTCAATATGCAATCCTCCCAGATCAGAGGCCACAGATTATCAGTCGCTGGGGAGCAACAGCAGGCAGTGGCATAGTGAGGAGGGCACAAGAGCAGTTGCACCAGGCACAAAATTCTTAGGGGTGCACAATTTCAACAGCTGGGGCTGCCTCAATACAGCTGTGCACTTCAAGAGCTCTGTTGAAAACCAGTGAACCAGCAAGTGACCTCCCCAGACGACAGAATTACTCTTCTTTTCTTATCTCTGGCTGCAATCTCCTGGGTGATGTGCAGTTGAATGCACATGCGTGCTCTGTTTTGTTCCCTGCCACCCACCCCTGCCATGCCCCTGGCACTGGCAACCTGTGTTATGCCACTGACAACAGGAAGGGGCTATTGCCTTCAGGCCCTGCTCATGGTGCTCCCAAAACCATCAATTCACCTACTGCAGAAAACAGGATGCTGGTCCAGTAAGGCACAGGAATCTGCCTTATACTGAGTCAGACTATTGGTCCATCTAGCTTAGTATTGCAAGCAGCTCTTCAAGCAGGGGAGTCTCTCCCACCTTTACCTGGAGGTGCCATTGAGGACCAAACCTGGAACCTTAAGCATGCCTAGCAGATGCTCTGCCACTGAGTTCTGGCCCTTCCCCATGAATGTATTTGTATGTTTAACACAGATGCCCAGGGATGCAGGTGCCTGCAGGATGAATCAAATCTTCACATTGCAAGTTTGCTGCCTGGTTTTAATGTTAAGGTTTTGGCAAGTGTCAGATTTAGAGGGGTTTGTGGGTTGTTTTTTTTAAACAAAACAAAACACGTAGCCCTGATTTTAACAGCTTTCCCAATCATAGGAGGCATCTGCTTTCAGACGTCCAGGGGAAATGGGCAGTTGTGGCAGGACCTTCCTCTCCGGGTAGCTGGGGAGTTGGAAGGAGGAAATCATTTCTTGTCTCCCCCTCTCCTCCCTCGGATTCTCAGGTTTCCTCCTCCTGCCTTCTGCAAGGGCGAGTGTCCACACACAAAGCAGATGGTGTGAACCTTGGCCAGGATGTGGCTGGCTTGCAGGCTCGACCCTGGCAGGGTTACATGCATCTGGTGTAGCTTTCCCCTTGCCTTTGGGGGGCAATCTGATTAGAATGCGAGAAGCGAGAAACAACGCAGAGCCAGGAAGCGGATCCAACGGAGCAAAGGCTTTGCTTGCAGGCTTTTGCAGAGAGCCGGGAGTCCCAGGAGCGACCGAGATGCCTCTTTTATGCATTATGCAGGGAGGGTGACGGAAGAAGCGAAGACACCACTTGTGACCCACCAGGCCAAGCCACAGTCTACCAGCTGTGTGTTCGGGGGCCTGCCAAGCCATTGGCGCTGCTCTTCAGACTGTTTTCTGCTAGCCCACGCATCCAGGACAAAGAGGAGAGGTTTATCAAGCCCCTCGTGGGCCGCAGTACGCTGTTGATGAGCTGTGTTTGACCAGACATTGTGCAGGCATCCGCCGCAAGATGCAAGTCAAAAGGGGATGTGCAATGAGCATCCCGGACAGGCTTGGGGAAATCTGATCTGGGGTGTGTGATGGGAAGCGTCAAGGAACGTCAATGAACACCTGAAGCTGCCTTGTTCTGAATGTTGTATTAGCCTAGTATTGTTTACTATGATGGGCAGTGGCTTTCTGGCATCTCTCGTGTCTAAGGATCATAGCTCAATGGTACAGCAACAGTCTTGCATGCAGAAGGTGCCAGGGGCAATTTCCAGTAGGGTTGGCAGAGACCCCTGCATGAAATTTTAAGGATGTGTAATATGTGGCTACACGGCTACACCCTCCCGCTGTCAGGGCACAGTGAGAGTGGCTCTCAGAGTCCTCTCTAGCAGACTTACAGGAAAACTCTGAGGTTCAGCTCCTATCATGTGCCTATCTAGCAAACATGCATTGTTGGTTTGACTGCAGTGTAAATATCCCACAGTGTAGACTACTGTAGTCTAATTGTGCTCAACCTTTGCAGACCCAGGACCCACCTTTTGCCCATACATGTGTTTGGGGACCCACTTCTTAATTCCTTACAGTCTGTCTTTATGGTTATAGGGCTGCTGTTGTGACCCACCTTTGGTCAGGCTGGAGAGAAATTGGATTCAGTTCCAAGCGAAAGATGACCCTCCCTGATCTGCTTTGTCCCAATCCATACACAAACCGAAACAGAGCCATCCTTTGACATTTGCACTTCTCTGAATCTTGCAATGCAGCTCGCCAGGAAAGCAATACATTCAAAATGCATATATTGCTGTAAAGTACTCATATAAATGCATACATTACTGAAAAGCATTATAAGAGGAGAAACTGATGGGGCATCTATCCTCCCTGTTTCTTTTCCTAAAGGCTTTTTGCTGCCATGACAGCCATATCTTCTTTGCAAATAATGCCCCTGGAATGACTTGGTCTTCTTCCACTCCTAGGTTTAGTGTGGCAGTGGCCCTGGAATGTGCTGGGTGCCTCTCCAACGTCTGCTATCATCAGTCTGAAGTGCAAACCCACAGCAAATTTCTGTATGGAGTTTGGTGACTGACTAGGGACGCCGGCTCCCTCGGCCAATAAAGCGAGATGAGCACCACAACCCCAGAGTCGGTCACGACTGGACCTAATGGGCAGGGGTCCCTTTACCTTTACCTTTTTAGGGATGGAGGAGCAAATTGATACAGTTTACATTTAAAGCCAAATCTATTCAATTCACATGCTCTGAAACAATATGAAAGCCGAAACACAGACATCCTTCAAAATATGCACTCATCTGGATTTTATGATGCAGTTCCCCAACCAAACAGTGTTTACAAAAACACATATATTTAAAGGAAGTGTGCTTAAATAGGAATATATTAGTGAAAATAGCATGCAAAAGTGCAGGCAAAATGTGTTCAAAATTGCATACAAAAATATGTTTGAGGCTGGAGGAACACTGCCCAGCTGTGAGGCGTGAAGGCTGCTCCCTGCAAGGCCCTTTCCACCTGACCTAGGGGGCTGGGCCCACACTCACCAGCCCCACTGAAGAGGCTCCTCATGAGGTCGGAGGAACATCACCCGGCTAGTTTTATTGATTGATTGATTTTAACATGCTGTACCCCGCTTTGACATTTTTATTAAAAATATAAATAAATAATTGTTTATTAGGAGACATTTGCACTAAAATGTAATAATTTTTTTAAGTTTAAAAAAATGCAACTTGCCGTAGAAGCATGGGACTTTAAGAATGGAAACATGAGAAACGGAGAGAACTGAAATTGCCAGATCCTTCCATCCCTATGGCTGACCAAATAATTTAGATTCCACACTCAGCCCCCCATGAAATCATTGGAGAGGTGATTGGTTGGACACCTTGGTTCACTGTGAACTTTGTTGCCCAAAGGCTGTTGGAAATACTCTCTGTGGTTTTCAAACGACAACTGTTTCTCCTTCTAGGACACGTGTTCAACATGCCCCATGACAACGTGAAGGTCTGTGAGGAGGTCTTTGGAAGGCTGAGGACCAACCACATGATGTCGCCCACTCTTATCCAGATTGACCGCATCAGCCCTTGGTCGGCTTGCAGCGCTGCCATCATCACTGACTTCCTGGACAGCGGACATGGTGAGCAGGGGATAGGGAGTAGGTAGGTGAAAAGGGGCGAGCGAAGGAGGTATTTGGGTGCCAGGACTGGGTGCCACCCTGTGTATTGCTTTGTTGTCAAAGCTAGCCAGAATTAGGAGGTACCTTACTTTGAAATTTGCTGGGCATCCATAGCAGCGAATGCTAAATAGTTTCAGTCACAAACATGGAGGCAAAGGGGAGCTTATAGGAGCGTTCTTCCAGGCCTGAAGGATAGCAATGGAATGGCATGTCTGGAAGACCAAGGAGATTGGTTAGGCCAAAGCTTCTGCTCTGCAGTTCCCATTCTTCTTCCTGGCAATAATGAAGGCTGGAGCTTATGAAGAGAAAACATATGGAGGCTACTGAGTGCAGCATTTGTTTTTTTCCACCGCCAGTGAACTGAGTCCTCCTTGCCTTTTGGTTGTCATCCAGTCATGGCATTTGATATGAGTGCCAATCTCTCCCCGCCTCCTGCCTCCAGACCACCGTTTGATCAGAAGCTGCCGGGAAGATTGACATATAAGGCACCACCTTTCTATAGAGCTGCCGCTGAATTTTGCCCAAAGTGTAATTTTAAGGTGGATATTGGAGGTTCCTCCTCAGGTAAAGCCCCTGGTGGATTTTGAAGTCTCCTGCTCAGGTGGAGCACCCAACCATTTCAGTAAGGTTCTGCAGATCTCTACAGACTTTGGCCCACAGAAAATATGAATGCGTATTATTGGTCAAACAGTACACTTTGCGTGCCATCCTTTGTCCCTTGCCAGCACTGCTGGGGATCGAAGAGCTGGTGAAGGAAGCCTTTATTTATTGCACAAAGTTGCTGGGACCTGGGCTTAGAATTGCCAAAGGATTTTGCCTAAAGTGAATCTGAAGGTGCTTGCTTGAGAAAAAACATCTGAGACATTGCCGGTCAATCAAAACCTTTTATCAAGGTTAGGGGAACTTCTCCAGTGAGTTCTGTACATCACTACCATGTTATTGTGCAGTCAAAATGGTGGTGTGGCTCTGCTTTTAATGAGTGTGAGGCATGAGGCCTCAGCAAATGATGGACCTAGAGAACAAGGGACGTCAGAGAGGCTTCAGTCCAACTGCCTCCAAGGTTGGAGTCATCAAGCACTGACCCAGATGACTTGGCCTGCTCCTCTGGTTTTGTTAAACAGTTTATACCGGGAGGGCTGCAAGTCTTTAAAAATGTAAAACCTGAATGCTGCTTGAAACAGCTGTGTTACCAGAATTGTGTTACGACAGCTCAGCTGAAGTTCTGTTTCACTGGTTTTTGAAGCCTTCCTATATTAATTTAATTCGTGAGATTTTTACATCCCCTTCCAATACAGATGTCCATAGCAGTATACTATATAATACTGCAAGTCAGAAACACCAGATCAACTAATAATCTATTTATTTATTTTTTAAAATGTTATAAAAGTAAAATGGACAAGTAAGCAATCAGCAGATGGGGGAAAGCATTTTAGCAGACCCAGTTGGTTGAAAGCGCTGCAGTAAAGGAAGGTCTTACCTGCTCCTGGAAGGAAGGCCTTACTGGGCTTTGGTGCATGTGAGTGGGAATGGGGAGCTGGTTCCCCTGACTCTTTTCCTGCCAGCTCCGATTCATGTTTGTAGGTGTAAGATGGTATAGTCCTTCGAGGTCTGTACCACCTCCATTTTGTAGATGATGATTCAAAACATGAGACTTTGTTGCATCAGAGAGACATACAATCCCAAAACAACTTCTTGATGATGCGAGATTTGCCATTTAAAAAAATAAAAACAAATCAGGGCCTTTTTTTTTTTTTTTATAGAAACAGACTCATCCCAAGATGGAACTGGCCATCTCTGGATTGAGCAATCTATTTATTTGAGCTAGTATTGCAATTTAGGGCAGAGTTCCCTCGACTGAGACTGCAAGTTCCATATGGACTGTCACCTTTAAAATGCACTTAATTTATTTCCTTTGTAGCTCATCTTTACTGGAATTCAAGGAGAGGTTCCTAGAGTTCTTAGGTGGTTCCTCATGTGGGAACCCCTGCCTTAGTTTCATGTGACTTGAGACCACATCCTGGAACGACATCCACAGAGCTGAGCTGAGGAACCTCCAGATGCAATTCCCACCACTCCTGGCCACTGGCTAGGCTGGCTGGGGTTGATGGGAGCTGGAGTCCAAAAGCATCTGAAGGGCCACAGATTAGCCACTCTTGCCATATTTGGATACAAAGCCTTTGACTTACATTCACTGGTCTTGAATGTCTCACTGGCTTCTTTTCACAGAATTGCAGAGTTGGAAGGGACCCTCTGCTTATCAACCTCCAAGGAAGGAAAGTCCACAACCTTCTGAGGGAGTCCATTCTGCTGCTGAACAGCTCTTACTGTCAGAAAGTTCTTTCTGATGTTTAGCCAGAATCTCCTTTCTTGTAACTTGAATACATTGCTTCAGGTCCTAGCCTCTAGAGCAGGAGAAAACAAGCTTGCTTCATCCTCCACGTGACGGCCTTTGAGATATCGGAATATGGCTATACATATCTCCTCTCATCCAGGCTAAACATATCCAGTTTCCAGACCCTTGACCATCTTGGTCACCCTCCTCTGCACAGCTTCCAGCTTGTCAACATCCTTCTTAAACTGTGGCGCCAGAACAGGACATAGTATTTCAGGTGTTCAGGTATTCTGACCAAGGTAGTATAGAGCAGTGCCCTTGATCATCATCATCATCAACATCGTCATTATTTGTTGAATTTATATACCGCAGGTCTCATAATCATGTTGAAAGTGATCTGATTTTCTGTACAGTCCCTCTGGGAGCCGTTCTGTACGACATCTGCGACATACATCCAATGGAGCTGTGTGCAGGCGTTAGCAGAGTTCGGCAGAAAGCCAGACTGTTTAGGAACGTGGTAAATTATTTTCTTGGGGAAGCTGTCAAAATCTATGAAGTCTCTCTTTTGCTGACTCCCTCCCCGTTCCCCTCCTCTCCCTCCCTCTTCCAGGCGACTGCCTCTTGGATGAACCCACCAAGCCCATCCCACTGCCTGAAGACCTCCCTGGTTCCAACTACAACCTCAACCAGCAGTGTGAGCTGGCCTTTGGCATGGGCTCCAAGCCCTGCCCATACATGCAGTATTGCACCAAGCTGTGGTGCACAGGGAAGGCACGGGGACACATCATGTGCCAGACTCGCCATTTCCCTTGGGCGGATGGCACCAGCTGTGGAGAAGGGAGGTTCTGCCTGAAGGGTGTCTGTGTCGAGAGGCATAACATCAGTAAGTACCGGGTGAGTACCTGTTGGCTCCGTACTGAGGATGTGGTTTGGGGAGGGCTGATATCTGTGGAGGTCTAGACCTGGGTAGGCAAACTAAGGCCCGGGGGCCAGATCCGGCCCAATCGCCTTCTAAATCCGGCCTGCGGACGGTCTGGGAATCAGTGTGTTTTTACATGAGTAGAATGTGTCCTTTTTATTTAAAATGCATCTCTGGGTTATTTGTGGGGCCTGCCTGGTGTTTTTACATGAGTAGAATGTGTGACTTTATTTAAAATGCATCTCTAGGTTATTTCTGGGGCATAGGAATTTGTTCATTTTTTTCCTTCAGAATATAGTCCGGCCCCCCACAAGGTCTGAGGGACAGTGGACCGGCCCCCTGAGGAAAAAGTTTGCTGACCCCTGGTCTAGACTTATGTGTTACAAAGCTCTAAATCATGTAAATGAAACAGATGTGTGAAACACATCTTAGCCTCTTCCATTGACTAAACCGAGGGCTTTAGAGAATTTGAATCTTTGACAGGCTTCTGAGATTTCACTGGCCATCACTGACACGCTTCCTCTTTTACAGGCGTAACAGCTAGAAACTTGCTTTAAACAAACAAACAAACAAACAAAAACAAACAAACCCTAAAAGCTGAGCTTCTCAAAACGCTGAATTCTCCACCCAGTATTAACTGCATGCTTGCACAGAATCAAGGAGTTCACAAGTTCTGCATGAAGGGGTTCCCCAGAGGTAGTGATGCTAGAAACCTATCCCTTTTCTTTCCACTGATTTTTATTTATTTATTTATTTGCCATTGTATGTTTGGGATGCTTAGCAGCGAGAGCAGATTGCAATTTGTGCAGTGCTGATCTCAATCCTTGCTCCACGTTGCATGTGCCTGATTTTTGTTGGAGGGGCACACAATTAAGGTTGAAGTGGATTGGTCGATGGATCAATTGATCACATTTGCATTGGAATAAAAACAGCTTCCGAGCAGAAAGCAGTGTTGCATGCTTGTGCCTTAGCAGGCAGGCATCAGAAGAGGCATTGCCTCTTGTGTGAGGAAGAAGGGGTGCTACTGGAGAGGATGCTTGCCATCTGCAGACTTTTACAGTGGTTTAAGAACAGCTTAGTTTATGAACAACTTGGATTAAGAACACTGCAAACCTGGAAGTAGGTATTTTGGTTTGTGAACTTTGCCTTGGAAGCAGAACATGTTCTGCTTCCTGTTGAGTGTGTTCCATTTGTAAATTGAGTCCCCTGCTGCTTTGGGAAAGCATGCCTTGGTTTAAGAACGCTTTGGTTTAAGAACGGACTTCATAAACCAAGGTACCACTGTACAATGATTGCATCAGCACCATCATCCGGAGTACCAGAGTACTATTTTAGCCCATCGCAAGGGTTTAAATTAATTACATATTGATTTAATTACATAATGAATTTTCATAATTGCATGTCATCAGGGCTTTTTCACTCAGTTCCGGCACCTGTCAGGTGTTCATGATGAGTTCTGGCACCTCTTTTTCAAGAAAAATAGCACTGCATGTCATGTCATCTACAAGTGTGGCCATATCTGGACCAGGGATGGGGAACCTGTGGCTCTCCAGGTGTTGCTAGACTACAACTCCCATCATCCCCTGGTCATTGGTTGTGCTGGCTGTGTCTGTTGGGAGTTGGAGTCTGACATCTGAAGGGGGCCACAGGTTACCCATCAATGCAATGCAAGATTGAATTGTTGGGCACTGCATGAGCAACTGACTTGATTAATTGCTTGCTGCCTTGCTTTCTTGTCCTTTGCTTGCAGAGCAGGAGATAATATTATTGAAGCTACTGACTACATAGAAGGGCGTTTTGCACATGCTCAAAAGATAGCCTTTTATTGCTTAACATGGCTTGAGCAAACCATGGCATACAAAGTTCATGTTGTTGTTGTTGTTGTTTTTATCAAGGCTAGTGAAAAATTCTAACTAGAAATGTGATGAATATAATTAAGCTGTGGTATTGGCTGTGGGTTTCACGTCTGCCTCTCTGTGGTGTGCCTTGGCAGGTGGATGGCAACTGGGGGAAATGGGCGCCCTATGGCCAGTGCTCTCGGACCTGTGGCGGAGGAGTCCAGCTGGCAAAGCGGGAATGCAACAACCCGCCCCCTGCCAATGAAGGGAAGTACTGCGAAGGAGTGAGAGTGAAGTACCGCTCCTGCAGTCTGGACCCCTGCTCTGATTCAGGTGAGCTTTGCAAAGGGGTGGGCCTGGCTGAGAGCCAGCGAATGGTCTGAGACCACCTGAGGCTGCAGCTTGGGTGGAGCCAGTGAATGGTTTTGGAGCATCTTCTTGCCACCTGCACCAGCTTCTGCTGCCACCACCACCACCAAATGATTGACAATGCCTGTCACTGGACAGCAATGTGTGGACTGAACTTTTTGTGACTGTTGCTTTATGCATATTTTAATTTTGCAGTTGTTTTAATTACTTATTTAATTTTGTTGTACATTGCCCTGTGCTATGTTTGAAGAAGAGTGATTCAGTAATAATAATAATAATTAATAAATATCTGAGGCTGAAGCACCGATGAATCTAAGCAGATGATGAGACAGGCAAATCCTGGATGAGAGACTTCTGGGGGGAAATAAATCACAAGAGCAGGATATAGTAAAAGCAAACATATAGTATATGATTTCTCATATTAAAAATATACAGGAAATGAAACTCAGTGCTATTTTTTCCAAATAAATTTTTATTAGTTTTCCAATATTCCCCCAACAGTAGCTGAATTATAACAATGTCAAAACTCAGTACAGTGGTACCTCGGGTTGAGTCTTAATTCGTTCCGGAGGTCCGCTCTTAACCTGAAACTGTTCTTAACCTGAAGCACCACTTTAGCTAATGGGGCCTCCTCCTGCTGCCGTGCCCCGGAGCACGATTTCTGTTCTCATCCTGAAGCAAAGTTCTTAACCTGAAGCACTATTTCTGGGTTAGCGGAGTCTGTAACCTGAAGCGTATGTAACCCGAGGCACCACTGTACTTTGTTGGTCCCTTGCAGTCATTCCAAACTGTACCTTAAATACCAGACTCTGACCATTGGGCCACGCTCTCTGGGGCTGATGGGAGCTGCAATCCAACTTCACCTGGAGGGCAACAGGTTCTTGTATCCCTGCTCTGCCTATGTAAACTCATTTATACGACATGCTTCTTTTATGAGACTTTGGCCCTCCTTCAAGTGTAACCTGCATCATATAATGCATGCAGCAAAGTGACCTGCCTTCTTCAAAACAATGGTCACTTGGAGGAGACCCTAAATCAGGGGCAGGGAAGGTGTCGGAGCATCTGCTTTGCATGCAGAAGGACCCAGGTTCAACCCCTGGAGACTCCAGGCTGGGCTGGAAACACTTCTGTCTGAACCCTGGAGAGCTATGTAGGCAATACTAAACCCAACAGACCAACAGTCTGAGTTAATATAAGGCAAGCTTCCTTTGTTCCTTTGGACAACTCCAGCTCCCATCAGCCCAAGCAAGCAATAGCAATAGCCAGAGATGATGGGTATTGTAGTTCAACCACATCTGGAGGGCCACAGGCCTCAAAGATTTTTCTCTTTTTTTTTTATATATAATTTTTTAATTGATTTTACAGACAAATTTTATACAATACAAACAAATAAAAAGACATACAAACATGTATAGTTTCATAACCTTTTTTTTCATAACCCTCTCTTCTCGGACGCCGCCAGCCTCCCCAGCCAACAACCCAAATTCCAAAAATATTTAAGCAAAATCTAAATAATTTTATAAAATATATTTTTCTTATTTTTTTATTGAACTTAATCTTATGTCGCTGTAATCTCCTTTTCTTTCTCCAAACCTCGACATTTTAACATTCCTCAATTTTATGATAGTTCTTTAGATAGATTTTAAATTTCTTCCAATCTTCTTCCACCGTCTCTTTCCCCTGCTCACGGATTCTGCCAGTCATCTCCGCCAATGTCATATAGTCTATAACCTTCATCTGCCACTCTTCCAAGGTGGGTAGTTCTTCTGTCTTCCAATACTTTGCGATGAGTATTCTTGCTGCTGTCGTAGCATACATAAAAAAAGTTCTGTCTTTCTTTGATACCAATTGGCCGGCAATGCCCAAGAGAAAGGCCTCTGGTTTCTTCAAGAAAGTACATTTAAGTACCTTTTTTAATTCATTATATATCATTTCCCAGAAAGCCTTAATCTCCTCAAAGATTTTTCTCAACCACTGCCTACTATCGTGAGCATGTGTGAAATAGACATGGCAGGTCAAACACTGGGGATGGCTCTGACACTCAGCGGAGAGTCGCTACATGATGGCATAACCTGATAACTTGTTTGCATGTGTGAATCAGCCCCAAAGGGTTGTTTCTTTTTCTTTTTTTAACTGCATGAAATTGTTTTCACACAGTCCCCGGGAAGAGCTTTCGGGAAGAACAGTGTGAGGCTTTCAATGGCTACAACCACAGCACAAACCGGCTCACGGCCACAGTCTCTTGGGTCCCCAAGTATTCCGGAGTGTCTCCTCGCGACAAGTGTAAGCTGATCTGCAGAGCGAATGGAACCGGGTACTTCTACGTCTTGGCTCCTAAGGTGAGTTGGGATCCCAAACCGTGGTCTCTTTGGTAAATTGGGAGAGGAAGGCCGATGTGGGGGCAATGGCTGTTTGCAGAAGGGGAATTATATGCAGTGCAAAATTTAATCATCAATAATGTGTTTCTGCAAACTTTCAACTAAGAACCAATGAGAATTAATAACTGGAAAGAACTGTCATCAGAGAAAGAACATATGAAGTTGTTTTAATTAAATGTTACTTGAAATAGAAATAAATTTTCCCCCGTTGAGCTAAATGGAGATGCTCTGGAATCACCTGAATGATGTGGATCGTAATCTGGATTAGCGTGAATCATGCACTGTGGTCTAAACCACAGAGCCTAGGGCTTGCCGATCAGAAGGGCAGCGGTTCGAATCCCCGCGACAGGGTGAGCTCCCGTTGTTCGGTCCCAGCTCCTGCTCACTAGCAGTTCGAAAGCATGTCAAAGTGCAAGTAGATAAATAGGTACTGCTCCGGCGGGGAGGTAAACAGTGTTTCCGTGCACTGCTCTGGTTCACCAGAAGCGGCTTAGTCATGCTGGCCACATGACCTGGAAGCTGTCTGCAGTCAAACGCCAGCTCCCTCGGCCTATAGAGCGAGATGAGCGCACAACCCCAGAGTTGTTTCCGACTGGACCTAATAGTCAGGGGTACCTTTACCTTTACCTTACCTACAACCTAGCGATGCTTCACTTGCCCTTAACCCCACACATTTGGTACAGCTGGAGTGGAATGCAAACACAACATAAAGGGTGTGTCCCAAACCATTCCATCTTCATGGGTGGAAGATCGGCATTCTGCATTCCAGTACAAGTGTGCATTGTGCTCTGCTATTGTTCAGGACTAGTTCTGGTCATGGTGCCATTCTTTCAAGGGGAGTATAATAGCATACCTGCCTTCCAACCAGATGTCTGTGGGAAACCCGCATGTAGGACCAGAGCACAAGAGCTCTCTCCCCTACTGTGATTTCCAGCAACTGGTCTTCAGAAGCATTGGTGCCCCCAACCAGGAAGTAGAGCATGGCTAGTACTAGGTAGTACCTAGGTTGGTGGCCACTACTGCCTCCTGTTAAACTATGTGTTGCACGAATAAGTATGTACTTTTATCTGCCCAGGTGGTGGATGGCACGCCATGTTCTCCAGATTCCACCTCGCTGTGCGTCCAGGGCAAATGTATCAAGGCTGGATGCGATGGGAGACTGGGCTCCAAAAAGAAGTATGACAAATGTGGCGTGTGTGGCGGAGACAACAAGACCTGCAAGAAGGTCTCTGGCTTGTTCACCAAACCCATGTGAGTGAGCTTGTTCACCAAACCCATGCAAAGCAGATGCTCTGTCCCTGAGCTGTGGGAAAGTGTTGGGAAAGAGCCCTGCTTGAGATCCTGGGGGGCTTTCTGTAGACATTACAGAGCTACACCCAACAAATGTCTGATCCAGTCCATAGGAGGCTAGACTGGAATAATGGGGAATAAGCATCAACATTTAGAGTGGGGTGGTGGTGGTGGGGAGATGCTGTTGGACTCCAATTCCCACCAGCTGCATCCAGTCAGGGATGGTGGGAGTTGCAAAGCCACATTGGCTACTATTGCTGCCCAGCTTAAGACATCTTCTGTATGTTTATTTTAAGCTTTCTTAGAGAGGGTGCAATTTATGTTGCAGAATGACTACCAGCATCTAGTTTAGAATGGAAATGTTGGTTTCAAGGCCAGTTTCAGCTGATGCCCTCTTATGGGGCTCTTGGAGGGCAGGCAGTGGCTCTCTGATTAGCACTGGAAGGTGAGCCTCCATTTAAATTTCCCACAATGCCCTAGAATGACAGTCATACTATACATTTAATGTGCTATGATACTACTTTAAACAGTCATGGCTTCCCTCAGGGAATTCTGGGAGATGTGGTTTGCTAGGCATTTTTATGAAACCCCTATTTCATTCCCAGAGTTGCAGTTCCCAGAGTTCCCTGCAAAGAGGGAATGATTGTTAAACCACTCTGGGAATGGCAGATCTGTGACGGGGTCTCCGAACAACTCTCAGCACCATTAACTAAGGACAGTTCTCAGGAAACTTTGGGTGGGAAGGAGTCATGACTGTTTAAAGTAGTATCATAGTGCTCTAAATGTGTGATGTCAGCCTCCTGACACCAAAGGCTCACAGCAGGCCTGGGGGGGGGGGTGGTGCTAGGATGTAGTCTTCCCATCAACTGCTTGAGGATGCGGTTGCTAATTCTTGGCGCAACTGGCTCAAAAACTTCCATCCTGAGATATTCTGAGACTGAGTTCTGCACTCTATGCAAGGCCTATGATGTGCAAACTTGCTAACTTGTATCACATCTAATCCCCCCCCCCTTCTCATCCAGGCATGGCTACAACTTTGTGGTGCTCATCCCAGCTGGAGCTTCCAGCATTGACATCCGGCAGCGGGGCTACAAGGGCTTGGTCAGTGATGACAACTACCTGGCTGTGAAAAACGGGCACGGCAAATACCTCCTGAACGGGCATTTCATCGTCTCAGCAGTAGAGAGGGACCTGATGGTCAAGGGGAGCGTGTTGCGCTACAGTGGAACCGGGACAGCTGTGGAGAGCCTCCAAGCCTTTATGCCCATCCAGGAACCATTGACGGTGGAAGTGTTGTCCGTGGGGAAGATGACCCCGCCTCGCGTCCGATACTCTTTCTACTTGCCCAAAGAAAGCAGGGAGGACAAGTCCTCATACCGCAAAGATGGGAAGCGCCCGCCAGTCCTCACCAACAGCATCCTCACGCTCTCCAACCGCCTTGATCCCGGCAGACCGGATTACAAACGCCCCTCTTACAAGTGGGCCACCACCAGCTGGGAAGACTGCTCGGTCACCTGTGGCAATGGGCTGCAGAAGCGCATGGTGCAGTGTCGCGATGCCCTTGGCCAGGCGGCCTCTGCGTGTGATGCCACTCAGCGGCCCACTGACATCAGGATATGTGGGGACCCCTGCCCGGTGTGGGAGGCCTCCTCCTGGTCGCCATGCTCGAAAACATGTGGCCGGGGTTTCAAGCGACGCATGCTGAAGTGCATGGGCAGGGGGGCCGTCCTGCTGCCCCGCGACCGCTGCAACCTCAGGAAGAAGCCACAGGAGCTGGACTTTTGCACCCTGAGGCCGTGCTGACCGGGCTGGACCCTCGTATTGACCAAGGCCTAATGAGCATAATTCTGGCTCTTGATGATCAAGTGGCTGAAAGTGTAAAAAAACAGAAACAAAAATAGCCTCCGGGGGGAGGGAAGGAGGGAAAAGGGAGTCGACTGAGTGGAGTGGGATCTGTTACATAGTGCATTTGGACGAACTAAAGGATTCTGAATGGGCCAAAAGAGAGAGAGAATGAGAGCAAGCAAGGGAGAGTGCCAATGAGAAGGGGCTGAGTAGGAGGGTTTGATGATCTGGGCGCTCAGTGGTGAAGCAGGAATAAACAACTACCTCGAAGCTGCCAAACCACCCAATCTCTGCCTCGCATGGCACAACCTGCAGTCATGAAGTAGAAAGGCAAGATCGGAGATTGAGAGAAATTGCCGTCCAAGATGGACCAGAGACAATGGCGGCCGTTCCTTAGAGTCATGGCCCCAGCCTATTCCGAAATACAAAGGGGTCATCTCCTATTGGGGACCCATCACCCCAAACCCTCCCGTTGTAAAGGACCATAAGGGATTACCATTGCACCCACAGCAAAATGCAAGGCTTTCCAACCGGTACAGTAAGGTACCTCCAAGGCCGAACATGCGTTGTGGGTCTCTAGAAATTCCCACCCCCTTGTTGCTTTCCGGCTTCTGTGCAGGGCTGATGATGGATGGGTTGCTTTACTTCTGTTCATGTTTACGGGCCAAACGTGTAGGTTTAAATGGTGCTTGACCTCTTTTTCTTTTCTTTTTTGTCTTTCTTGGTTGAAGTAAACCATTTGTTTGTTGCCTATTTCCCTTGGAACAACCCCTATAGCAGATTGAGGGGGCATTTTATCTCTCCAACACATGCACAAGGGAGTGAGAAAACCCAGATTCTTCTCTTCTCTTCTTAGGAGTTATTCATAAGCCACACCTCTTCCAAATTCATTGCTGTATTATGAGTATTTCCAGAGATTGCAGTAAGCCTCTGCAAAATACCTGTGAATCTGAACGCCTCTTTCTCTGAAGTGCTCTGGATATTTGCCAAGCTGACTTTGTACTGTGCATGAAAAATCTTTAAGGGCCAAATTGAGTTTCCTGCAGCCATCCTTGTGCGCTACTTGAACAATTTGCAGGGAAGGGGGAAATCATACGGTCAGGTGGATATTTACGGCTGCTCTGATGCCTGGGGCTAAGTCAACCATTATACTAAGGATATACTGAAGAGGTGGTCCCCATTACTCCACTTCTGATATCTGGAGCTTATTAGTGTGATATTGCACCTTAAGGTTTTCGTCTTTAACTCTCCAGGCTGGAATGCTATGGTTGTTCCCTTATAGTGAGAATCGCGTGCTTGTTCCCACCATGAGACGAGAGGCCATAGCTTAGTGGTAGAGCATCTGCTTGGCATGCGGAAGGTCCCAGGTTCAATCCCTGGCAACTCCAAATTGGACTGGGAGAAGCCCTGGTTTGAAATTCTATGGAATGGCAGTCCCCCCCCCCCAATAAAAAAATGTTGCTGCTGTTAAACAGCAAATCAGCCAGAGATCTCCCAGTCAATCTGCCTTTTGCCCACCCATGTCTTAGTGCCCCTATGCCCTTCAGTTCAACTCTGCTAGTGCCTTTTCATGTGTCTGCAAATGGGTGAATCAACACCACCTTTCTCTCCAAGTTATTTTCATTGGCTGTAAGGTGGTCAATAGCTTTCATAGCATTGTAGAGTTGGAAGGGACCCCCAAAGTTCATCTAGTCCAGCCTGCTGCAATGCAGCAACCACAGTGAAAGGATCTGACAGATAGCCCCACCTCCACCTCTGTTTAAGAACCTTCAATGAAGGAGAATCCACCATGTTCCCATATGGCCCATTCCACTGCTGAACAGCTCTTAGCACCAGAGGTTTAGTTGGAATCACCTTTCTTATCATTTGAATCAATTGGGTCAGGTCCTCCTCTCTGGAGCCGCAGAAAATTAGCTGCCTCCCTCTTCCATGTGATAGCCGTTTAGATATTTGAAGATGGCTATCATATCACCTCTCAGTCACCTCCAAGTTAAACATGCTCAACTCCCTCATGGGAGTGTTCCTCATAAGGCTTCATTTCCATACCCTTCATCATCTTGATAGAGTCCCTTCCACTTTGTTTGTTTCCCTGCCACATGTAGCAAATAGAGGCACTCTTGATTTCAAAATGGTGCTGATTCTATGGTATTTGGGGATGGGGATTTCTGTTGACTAAAAACAGTGGCATTCCCACTTCTTCCTTAACCGATTGTTTACAAGGTTGTAAAATGGAATTATATATTAAGAGAGGTTGTGAATTCAGGTCGCTGGGCCTGATATTCTGCTTGTCCACCCACGCTTGGTGTGTTCCATTGAAACCAAGAGATCTGCAGCGATATTTGAAGAATTTGAGAATGGAATCAGAACTTCTGGGTTTATTTATTTTCTTCTATAGATGGTGAGAACAAAAAAATTGTGAAGGTATCAAGTTGATAGATATATCTATATTTACAACATGGAGGACATTGGGAAAGTCACTGGGTGGGGCAAAATGGTCCCAGTTGACATTCTTCTCTAAAAGCACCATGTGGCCAAAGTTCTAGATCCATGCCTTCAAAATTCTAGACCTGGCAGTTCCTCTGGGCAACCAGTTACACCTGTCAAAACGTATTAGTGGAGCTCTAGATGACAGAGATGGGGAACCTGTAGTTCTCCAGATGTTGATGGACTCTATCAGTCCCAGCCAGCTTAGCCAGTGGCCAAGGATAATCACAGATAGGGGCCAATAACATCTAGAGGCCAAATGTACCTTTAGGTCTTTGTACACCACAGGTGTACATTGCATTTATACCAGTTTTACCAGGTTTGCAAGTAGCTGCTTGCCTTATCTGCCAGTGAAGAGTAAGGAAAAGAACCACAAAGGGGTGGCAGAGTTACATGTGGTATGATGGGTTAGTACACCTTGCAAATTTACTTGCAGTGGTGTAGTTTGGCGTGTAGGAGCCTCGAATAGAAATCCCACCCTTTTGCAGAACTACAGCTCTCCAGGGGAGACAGAAGGACCTGCTCTTAATTCTGTAATGCAGATATCACATCTGTGACTTGTACAGACTTCAAACTGACTTTCTGACTTCTCTGAAAATGCATTTTAATTTGTGTTGGGGTTTTTTTTAACTGTTGTCTTCTGCCATGCCCAGTAATCCAGCCTTTGATGGCTTCAGAGGCTTCCCTTTATCAAAACGGTTGGTTTCCATCAACTATGCAGCACTGACATCCTTGCCCATTGCAGTGTGTTTGGGAAGGGAGGGGCTTTTAATTTTTGTTAAAGATATGATTCTTTTGCAAGATATACAGCAAAAGGATGGAAATGCCTATTGTACTGGCTGCTTTGTGTATACCATGTATACTATGTGTTGGTCTCTGCTGTTTGTGTGTGGATAGCAAACCTAAAATAAAACTGTTAAGTATTTAAACAATTTGGCTGTTGCACAGTTTTTTGGGTCCTGGTGCACATATAATCACGGAAGGGCACATTGCATCTTCTATAATCTATATTACGAACTTTCAGATTTCAAAAAGTTTGTATTTTATTTATCTATACTGTTTATATTCTGATTTCCTACAAGTGGTGTGCATGACACGAACTACAGAAAAGGTAAAAATTGGTCAAAACTCTAAAATCAGACCCAGTTATTTATTTATTTATTCATTGCATTTCTACCCCACCTTTTCCTCCAAGGGGTTCAAGGTGCAGTACATGGTTTTCTCCCCCCTTTTTAAATCCCCACAACAGTCCTATGAGGTAGGGTAAGGCTGGGAGGCAAGGATTGGCCCTGGGTCAGCCAGTGACCATCATGCCCAAGGGGGTGGGGATTTGAACCTTGTTCTCACCTAGATGCTAGTCCAACATTGTAACGTCAATTAAAATGTATGGTGGAATAAAATATGGGCACTGGAAGTTCAACAACTTGAGCTGGCTGGGAGTTGCACTAAATTCGACTCACAAGACTGAACGTGCATGGCTTCCGGTGGATATGGGTTGTGCGTCTGAGCCATGGGGGACCACTAAAGAAAAAGGTAAAGGACCCCTGGATGGTTAAGTCCAGTCAAAGGCCGAGGGAACCAGCGTTTGTCCACAGACAGGCTTTTCTGAGTCACGTGGCTTCTGGTGCAATGGGACACTGTGACGGAAACAAGAGCGCACAGAAACACCATTTACCTTCCTGCCACAGTGGTACCTCTTTATCTACTTGCACTGGTATGCTTTCGAACACTAGGTTGGCAGTAGCTGGGACAGAGCAATGGGAGCACACCATCAACACGTGGAATAGAACCACTGACCTTCCAATCGGCAAGCCCAAGAGGCTCAGTGGTTTAGACCACAGTGCCACCCGCGTCCCTACTATGGAACCACTAACAGTGACCAGGAAGCGATATAAGGGATTAGGTGGCCCTTGAGGTATACTGAGCCCAAATTGTTAAGGGTCTTACAAATCAATACAAGAACCTTGAATCTGTCCCAGTAGTGTGGGCAGCCTGCACAGTCTTTGAAGCACTGGAGTTACATGCTGGCATAATTCTGTCCCCATAAACATTAGCCCTGTGGTTTTTACATGCTGGGTTGAGGAACCTTTTTCCACGCAGGAGCAAGATTTCTTCACTCCCTGCTGCATAACATTCTGGGTGCCACTGGCAACTGGCTGCATCAATGGATGCTGCTCTTAACTTTGCAGACGACTTGCTAGCCATGCAAGATTCAGAGGTTTGAATGCCATCTCTGAGAGAGATGCAACATTTGAAATGTCATTGGAGGCCACCATTCATTCTTCCGCCACCATAAGGCCCCATGGCAGCCCACATCAGATTAAAATACAATATTAAAAGCAGTTGTAAACCAGTTAGTCACAAGAATAAGGTAGGTTCTAAAAAATCTCTCTCAAGTGTCAAAGGCCAGTGTAAACCGATGTGCCTTCAGCAAACGACAGAAACTGCAGAATGAAGGTGCCAGCCCCAATTGC